TGAGGCTCCTGGTCAGCTCCAGAGACTGAATCAACTGATTGCTCTGGCTTACTAGGACATATTTGTCCATCTCTCACACACTGCCTGGTGAATTGGTCCCTCCCTGTTTCCACTTCTACAGACTGCCCTGACTGCCAGTTTTCCCTGGGAACTCCATGCTGCACTTTTCTGTCTTACAGCTTCAGCCTACTCCTGGCTCAGCTTTCTTATGGCTTTCGTGGGGCGTAGGCTTTTCAGGTCCTGCTCCTTCTAATCTCTCTACATCACTTTCAAATTCTGGAGAGAATTTAGAAGGTTGGTTAATTGCATTCCTTCTAGTGCAAACAAAACTTTCCTTCCAGACAGCCCATAGAATAGCTGCCCTAAGATCAGATGCCATCCTACTCTTGGTGTATTAGTTAGCTTTTGCTGCATAACACATCACCACAAACTTAGCACCTTAGAACAACACACATTTATTATCTCACAGTTTCTGTGGGTCACGAGTCCAGGCATGTCTTAGCTTGGTCCTCTGCTCAGGGTCTTTCAGGCTGCAAGTAAGGTATCAGCTGGACTAGTTCTCATCTAAAAGCTCAAATAAGGAAGAATCAGCTTCCAAGCTCACTCAGGTTGATGGCAGAATTCATTTTCTTTCTTTTTTCTTTTTTTGCGAGGAAGATTAGCCCTGAGCTAACATGTGTTGCCAATCCTCCTCTTTTTGCTGAGGAAGATTGGCCCTAGGCTAACATCCATGCCCATCTTCCTCTACTCTATACGGGACCCGCCACAGCATGGCTTGACAAGCGGTGCATTGGTGCGCACCCGGGATCCAAACCTGTGAACCCCAGGCTGCCGAAGTGGAGTGTGTGAACTTTGCTGCACCACCTGGCCAGCCCCAGCATTCATTTTCTTGGTGTGTAGGACTGAGGGTGCAGCCTCTTGCAGGTGTTTGCCTGGAGGCCACCCTCAAGGTTGCTTGCATTTCCTACAGGTCATCTGCAGTTCCTTGCCATGTGAGCCACATGGCTGCTTCATCAGGCCAGCTAGGAGAGTCTCTAGAGCGAATGTGGCAGCAAGACAGTCTTATGTAATGTAACATTGTCAAGGAAGTGACATCCCACCACCTTTGCCATATTCTATTGGTTAGAAGAAAATCACAGGTCCTGCCCACACTCAAGACAAAGGAATTATAAAAGGGGCATGAACACCAGGAAAGGGATCACGAGGGGTCATCCTAGGGTCTGTCTACTACACGTAGCACAGGTGCATTTGGGGACAGTAGTACAGAATGTGATGCCCAGAGGAGACAAATGCTGAGTTTGGCCTGGGTAATAAACAGATGAAGTTTATAAAAACGATGGATGTAAGCAAGTTCAAAGCTTCATTTAATCTATACAATAAGACTGAGATAAGCAATGGTATTCTCATTTCACAGATGAATGAACTGGAAGGGACTAGATTTCCTTGGCTGGGGAGTTGGGACAAGGGGAGTATCTTGACTTAGAACCACAGAGTCAGTATCATTAGACCCCCCCAGGCTCTGACAGAGTGAGAACCATCTGGGTCCAGTGGCAGAGGCCCACTAGAGCTTCACCAACACTTGCAAACCACCTGCTGACATTTGACTGACCACCACAAGACACTTGCACTGAGAACCTGTCCTCTTTGTTGGCAGAGGGCAGTCATTATTTGCCTTTCTGTAGATAACCACCCACAGATGTGGTGCCTGTTGGTGTTTTTGCTCAATCCATCCAAACTATCTTGTGTGGACAATATCATTTTCAAGAACCCAAGATAGTAATAAGCCCCTGAAACTGGAAGGAGGCTTGAATACCGGAGAAATGTGGAAGGTTCAGCCCAGCCGGGGCACAAGGAAGCTGTCTTCAGCACACCAAGCTCAGTGAATGCAAATTCTAAGCCCTAGCAACACAATCATGGGTGAAACACCTATTTTCCTTCAAGTGTGCACAATGGGAGGGACTAGACATGAGTGAATAAAGCAGCAGAAATTGTCTATAACAACTCATGAAAACTCAGATTTCATCCATGTGCTATGATGTGTTTGTGATTATACTAACCAAACATTTATTGATCCTTCCTGTTGATGGGAGATAGAAAGATGAGTAATTTCTCTCTCTGCCTACTCCAGGAGGAATACAGAGTAGGCAGATTAGTGCTATAATAGAGGTACTGAAAAGTTTCATGGAAGTATCCTATAGGGTAGGAGGAAGGAGAGGAATTCAAGGAAAGCTTCTTGGGGAATATAATTTTCTTTCCAGTTAGGCATTGTAGAACTGGCAGAACTCTACTAGATGATTGCTGAAGGCTGAGACCTTATAGAAGGCACATCAGGCTTGAGTAAAACCCTGGAAGCCAAATCGTGCGGAGAACAGGTGGAAATTATTGTTGAGAGAGTATCCAGGGTTTAGAGAGGTAAGAGGGACTAAATTATTAAGGCCTTTGAATATTGGGTTTAGCAGTTTAGAATATATTCTGAAGTCACTGGAACACCGTGGATAGGAAGAACAGACTCAGATTAATGCTTTAGAAAAAGAACTCTGTGGAGGACAGACCTGGATAGGAAGAGATTTGAGTGCAGGCAGAGCTGCTGTAATCCAGATAAGAAATAAAAAAGGCTTGAGCCAAGGCTATGGAAGTGACTGGAAAAGGCATACAGAGGGTACGTATAGTGACTTTGGGAGATGGAGGAGTGGAAAACAACAAGAATAAAACCAAAGGCAGAGAGGATGGTGATGCCATTAACCAAACCAGAAATCAGGGGGTGTACATAGGTGAGGCAAATCAATAAAGGTGTTCACTATGTTACGTTTCAGGGGCTTGTAAGACATATATGTGGAACTGCAGGTGTACAACTCAGAGAGGTCACCGTGTAGATAAAATTTTGAGTCATCTTCAAGAATGATATTTGAAACTATGAGAAGGCATTAAACCAGTTATGAAGACAAGATAGCATTAAAAGAGAGTTGGAGCCTTGGAGAATGCTTTGTGAGAAAGAGGATATATAATGGAGCTTGACACGGATAGAAGCAGAACCAGGAGAGGGTGCGGTTATAGAAGCCAACGCAGGAACGTTTTAAGGAGAAATTACCGTCAATAAGCTAGACAAGACGAGAACGAAGCTAGGACCACTTGGTGAAGTTGAGAAGGTCACCGGCAACATCCGGGGAGCAGTTTGAGAAGGGCGGCAGGAGCAGAATCCAACAAGGGGTAGAAACTGCCCAAGGAGAGAGAAGGCTAAAGTATATCACATCAGTTACTTTTAGAATAAATTTTATAAGGGAAGAAAGTGAGCAAGGAAAGTGGCTTGAGGAAGGACGGAGGGTATATGAGGCTTATCCTTGTTGCCATGAGCTACTCTCTTCCTAGCAAGCAGTTACCTTACACAGCCGTGCACGATAAGAAAAACGGATTTGAGCCCCCTTTACTTCTTAATAACAAAACTACAGGCCTAAATTACCACCTGGGAAGGGAGGAGGAGGACTAATCTCTACTATCAGATCCAAATTTTGCTTCAGCGGCTTTGGCTAAGACTTCTACAGGTGTATAAACTCCAACCCTTCACCCCAAACAAAACAACGCCACCCCCCTTCGCTTCTTCGTAATCTGGAAAAACCGAGCAAGCGCACAGTGCCCGAGTCCAGTGCCAGGAGCCCCTCTCGGCGCCGGCCTGCTTTCACCAGAGGGCACACAGCCCCGTGGCGGCGCGCCCGCCGCAAACCCGACAGAGGTGCTCCAGTTCAGCGCACCCGACCCTTCCACGACGCTTAGGCTCTGCTGGCCGTGGCCTTCGCGGGCGACATCAAGTCCCACTCGCGGCGCGGGGCAGCGACCACTGTCAGGAAAACCCTTGGCCCTGCTGCAGCCTCTGCGGCCCACTGCACTCAGCCTCCATTACCCTTTCCGCGCCGCACCTCCCTCGGGAAAATGAAACCTAGTGCTGTCAGCTGAGGCTAAAGGGTGGGAGCCACTACCTCATTACCAGGCAAAAAGAAAAGGCAGGACCGCCACGGGACAGCAGAGGGGTGTGTACCCCAGCCAGGTCGCCCAGAGGCCCCGCCCAGGCCCGCATCAGGGACTACATTTCCCAGAGTCTCCCGCGGCCCCGGGGGCAGGCCCGTCCGCTCTGGCGCTCTCACTGGGCGGTCACTGGCTTCCCCGGAGGGGGGCGGGGCCTACCCCAGCCAATAGGCGACAGGCTCGTTACGGCGGCGGAAGCAGCGGCACTGGACTGAGGGGTGGGGGGCAGAGTGCTCTCGCCCCGGCGGCGGTGGCGGGTCCGGAGGCCGAGGACGTCACCGGCACAGGCGTGGAGGGCACAGGAACGAGCTCGAGGCGGCGCGGCGGCCACTCGGCGCAGCACCCAGGTAATGGCGGGACGGGCGCCAGAGGGGAGGGGAGCGGAGGGGAGGAGACGAGGGGGCGGGGCGGGCGAGCCGGGCTGCAGCGTCCGTCCCGCTGCGCGTCCCCGGGGAAGGGCAGCGGTGCCGCGTCTCCTGCGCTCGGACCTGGGCTCTTTCGCGAGCTGCGCGCGGCGGTTGGGCCGGCGGCAGGAGCAGGGTGTCCTGCGGCAAGGAAGGGAGAGGCGCCGGGAGGGGTGGCTGATTCGGGCGTGGGGGCGTGGCGGGCGTGGGCCTTGGCGGGGAAGCGGGGCGGTGCAGGCAGACGGCCGGCCCAGGGAGTTTGGCTTCTGGAGCAGTTTAAAGTGACTCTCCACATCCGGGCCCTGCGCCCGCCGCTTTCAGACCCCGGCCGAGGCGGGGCCTCCCCGCTGCCCGCCCCCCGCGCCGGGGGCGCTTGTCTCCCTCTGCCATTGGCCCGCCCTTGAGGGGTTTGGGCCGCCCCGCGGAGGCTCGCGCCTGATTAGCTGGCAGTCGGCGGGAGGGTGGGGCGGGCTCAGAACGCGCAGGCCGCAGTGGATTGGTGCGGGTCCTCGAGTGACGCGCCCGGCGTGGGGCCAATAGGCGGGCGGGGGAGGTGAGGCAGGTTCGGGGGAAGAGGGCTGGAGCGGAGCGGAGCGGCGCCGGGGCGAGCGGGCCGGTGGGCTCCGGCACGAGTCCACCCCGCGACCCCGAGCCCAGCACTGCCACCGAGATGAGCCCTCCGCGGCACCCGCAGCCCGGCGAGATGGAAGCGGGAGGTGCGGGCGGCGGGCGGCGGCTGCAGGTAAAGAGGCACGCTGCCTGTCCAGGGGCTCCGAGAACGCCTGCCCGCCCCTCCCCGGAGACGGAGGCTCAGAAACCCGGAGTGTCTGGAAAGCTGTGTGCTCCCATGTCAGCGGTGGGCTGCGAGGTGGGGGTGGGGTCGTGGGCGAATCGGGGATATCGACAGAGCTTGGCTCCCGAGGAAAACGTGGGGGTCGATTTTAGAGAGGGTGGTGAAGGTCTCGGGTCCTTCTGGCTCGGTGGGGGTCTGTGAAAAAAGGTGGCGGGGAAGGAAACTCTAAATGGATGCCTGTGGAGAAAAGCATTTGAGAATTGCTTTTGGACCTGCTCTTGATGTAAGGTTTTTTAGGACAGGGCATCTCCCTTCCCATTCCTTCTATGACATACTGATGACAGTTCTGTTCACTTTGGTGAAAGGCATAAGTCTTTGGAAGGGACGTGCCGTTTTCCGTAAAACTTTGTTACATAGATACATAGGTATTGTGTTAATACCTGTCGTGTGGTGGTTGTACAGGATTCAATGTCGATATTTAGTGTGGCATTCCACAAGTATTTATGGAGGGTCAGAGTATCCCCAACACCACGGAAACGATTTTACTGTTAATTGAACCTATGTACATCAGAAATTTACAGAATTTAGGCCTTTGCTGCACCGTATATTGATCACAAGTAATTGTTTTGGATAAGTGATGCTGCATTTGCTTTTCTAAGCGACGAACTAAAGATGTTTTAATTTCGCATTATTGATTCTAATCTCAGAAACCGGTGATAACCATATGACTGTATGCATTGCAGGTGGAAATGAGTTCTCAACAGTTTCCCCGGTTAGGAACCCCTTCCACTGGACTAAGCCAGGCACCTTCACAGATTGCAAACAGTGGTTCTGCAGGATTGATAAACCCAGCTGCTACAGGTGAGATGAGTGATATTCTGTATTGTTTCCTGCTTTAAAAATATTGCCAGTTTTCTAATTTAAAAATTGGCAAATGTCTCGTGGGATTTTGGTAAATACTAGGTTATTGAATTTGAAGAAAGGATATATTACAATTCTAATTTAAACAAGGCTTTTTCCTCCTATATTAACCACTTCATTCACATGTACTAGAGTCTACAGGAAACTTACAGTAAAGCATGCCCCCAAGAACTAGTTTTTAAATGTGTTGTGTTCTTCTTTAATTGAGGTCCAGAGATATAATAATAGTGCCGTCAGGGAGCCCAAAGGTGCATAAGGCATAGGTCTTGCCTTTTAGAGCTCACTATCTAGGAAAAGAGGTTAAAAAAAAAAGTGTATATACAGCTTGGTTTTTAGTTGTATACCCTTTGAGTGCTATAGATCAGTGGTCCTTAGTGGGGGATGATTTTGCCTCCCAGGGAATATTTGGCAATGTCTGGATACATTATTGATTGTCACAGCTAGGGAGTGCTATTGGCATCTGATATTTGGAGGCCAGAGATGCTGCTAAACATCCTGCAATGTGCGGGACGGCACCCCATAACAAAATATTGAGGAACTCCTTCAAATGCTCTCTGTGTTATATATAGGAAGTAAAAAGATGGCATTTCAAAGTGAAGTAAAGTACTCCTTTTTTTTCACTGCTTGATTTCTGTGTTATCATGGGAAATGGTACCACTGTGTACTGGTTGCTCAGACTAGGAACTCAGGCGTCATCTTTAATTCCTCTGCCTTTGTCTCTTACCTATGAGCTGTGGCCTTTTGTCTAATGTTTCAGCCTCATTTTCTATTGCTTTGCCTCCCTCCTGCCGACTTAGTTTTTGTTACAAGTTTATTTTAGTTCTCTTTAGACTTGAAGTAACTTTAAGTACTACTTTTTGCTTCCTGCTTAATAGTAGCTACTCATTTTCTGAATGAATGATAAAAAGTTCCCAGTTTTCTTGACTTTGGGACTTTATACTTTATTCTGTTCCTTTTGCCACATCTTTCTTCTTCCTTTCCACTCACTTATCTGGCTATTTCCTGTTCTTCCTTGAGGTTTCATCTCAGATGTCACTTTTTCTGGGATGTCTTTGCTAACTCCATCATCTACAACACTTCAGGTTAGGACCTCCTCTTAGAATGAAGGCAGGGACCATGTGTGTCTCGTGCACTTGCATGTGCTATATTTGCTGCAGTGTAGGGCACAAAGTAGTGATCAACAGGTTCCTGTAGAGCCACTTAAAGTTCTTGATCCTTAACAAATACTTTTGACAATGTTTTGTCTTTGGTATAAATTCACAGCAGAATAATTTGAAGGAGCATAACTAAGGAGAATGTTTTTGAACGTCTATTTGCAAGAAAGTATACTACTTATTAAAAATGGTGTCAATTAGCAATAATTGCTCTCAGATTTTCTTGAGAAGGAAGTCATTGACTTACACCAAAATTGTCTATAATTTTACTTCTGAATAGTGTGTATCTTCTTTCCTTCAATTGCTCTTAAAAAAGAACTTAAAAGTTTCCCTGGAGTAGAGCAATTTCCTACTGCTCTTATCAGAAGAAGTAATTTGGAATCCTAAGCATGTCAGGATTTCAACTACCTATCAAAGTTCAGAAATATAGATTATATCCAGTTTTCTTAACTACTGCTTCAAGATTCTTTTCTGGTAAAAATAACGTGAAAGACCTCCAAATGTCTGGAAGGAAGTGGTAAATGGTTACAAAAAGAGCTTAATGGGAAATGGTTAATACATTATATCTTAATGAAATTGTCAAAAATCAAAGTATTCTTGGACAAATAGGTTTGGGAGAAAGTTATAAAATTGTCCATCCCTCAAAAATTTAATTAGGGGAAACTCTGGACAATGAAGAAGATTAAAAATTGATAATTGAAAAACAGAAGTAAAACTGTCTTTATTCACAAACAACATGATCATGTATGCAGAAAATCCTAAAGAATGTTTTTAAAAAGCTGTTAGAATAAGTGAAATAAGTAAAAGTTGCAGGATAAAAGTTCAGTGTACAAAAATCAATTATATTTCTAAATACTAGCAATGAATAATGAAATTTTAAAAATATCATTTACAATAGCATCCAAAAAAGAACCCCACAAAATACTTAGGGATACATTAAAATATATGTAAGACCTGGGGTTAGAAAACTATGTAAAACATTGCTGAGAGAAATTAAAGACCTAGGTAGATGAAAAGATCTATCATGTTTATGGATTGGAAAACAGTATTTTTAAGATATCAATACTACCCACAGGGATGTATAGTTCAAAGAAATCCTAATCACAATTCCATCAGTCCCTTTTGTAGAAATTGACGTCCTAAATCTAAAATTTATGTGGAAACCAAAGGACCTAGAATAGCTAAAGCAATTTTGACTAAAAAAGAAGTTGGAGGACTCCACTACCTTACTTCAAGACGTGCTATAAAGCTACACTAATCAAGACAGTGTGATATTGGCATAAAGACAGAAATAAAGATCATTGGAACAAAGTGGAGGATCCAGAAATAGACCCACACATTCAATGGTCAGTTGATATTTGACAAAAGTACATAAGTAATTCAATAAGGAAAGGAGAGTCTTTTCAACAGTTTAGTGTTAGCACACCAGTATGGAAAAAATGAACCTTGACCTTTACCTTCACATACACAAAAATTAACTCAAAGTGTATCATTATGGACCTAAATATAAAACTTAAAATTTCTTAAAGAAAACAGAAGACACTGTTTGAAACTTTGGGGTAAGCGAATATAGCTTAGGTCACAAAAAACACTAATTATAAAAGAAGCAGTTGAGGGGGCCAGCCCAGTGGCATAGTGGTTGAGTTCGTGCGCTCCACTTTGGCGGCCCGGGGTTCACAGGTTTGGATCCTGGGCACGGACCTATGCAGCACTCATCAAGCCATCCTATTGCAGTGTCCCATATACAAAATAGAGGAAGATGGGCACAGCTGTTAGCTCAGCGCCAATCTTCCTCCGCAAAAAGAGGATTGGCAGCGGATGTTAGCTCATGGCCAATCTTTCTCACCAAAATAACCCAAATAAACAAAAAGAAGCAATTGATACATTTTACTTCATCAAAATGAAAAATGACTGCTCTTCAAAAGACATCATTAACAAAATAAAAAGGCAAGCCACAGACTGAGAGAAGACATTTGCGATAAATATATCTGCAAAGGACTTATATCCTGAATATATAAAGAACTCATGTTGTGGCCGGTCCGGTGGCGCAAGCAGTTAAGTGCACGCTCTGCTGCAGTGGCCCAGGGTTCACCGGTTCAGATCCCAGGCACGCACCAACACACTGCTTGGCAAGCCGTGCTGTGGCGGCGTCCCATATAAAGTGGTAGGCACGGATCTTAGCCCAGGGCCAGTCTTCCTCAGCGAATAAAAGAGGAGGATTGGCAGATGTTAGCTCAGGGCTGATCTCACAAAAAAAAAAAAAAAAAAGAACTCATGTAATGCAATAATAAAAAGACAAGCAGCCTGATTTTTAAAAAACAGGCAAAATATTTGAATAGACACTTCACCAAAAACGCTATATAAATGCCAAATAAGCACATAAAAGATACTCAATATGAATTCTCAGGACAATGCAAATTAAAACCACAGTGAGAAACTACTATACATCAACTAGAATGACTAAAATTAAAAGACCAGTAATAAACAATTTTTGATGTATTTGTAGAGCAAGTAGAACTCATACATTGTTGGTGGGAATGCAAAGTAGTCTAGCCACTTTGGAAGAAAGTTTGGCATTATCTTATAAAATCAAACATAAACTTACCATACAACCCAGCAGTCCCATTCCTAGGTATTTACCCAAGGTAAATGAAAATGTATGTCATACGTACAAAGACTTATACCTCACTGTTCATAGAAGCATTATTCGTGACAGCCAAAAACTGTAAACAATCCAAATTTTATCAACTGGTGACTAGATAAGCAAGATTTGGTTTATCCATACAATGAAGACTATTTAGCAATAAAAAGGAACAAACTACCAGTCTACACAACAATGTGGATGAACCTCAAAAACATACTAAGAGAAAGAAGCCAGACACAAAGGACTACATATTGTATGATTCTATTTATGTGATATTCCAGAAAAGACAAAGCTATAGTGATAGAAAGCAGATCAGTGGTTTCAAAGGAGTAGGAATGGGAGGGAGGAATTGACTGCACAGGGCCATGAATGAACTTGTTAGAGTAATTGTTAACTGCGGTTAGAGTAATTGTGTTGTGGTTACAGTACTGTATATTTTTGTGAAAATTATCTAATTTCATACAAAGAATTAGTGGATTTTATATGTAAACTGTACTTCAGTAAAGCTGATTGATTAAAAAATGGACAAAAGATATGAACATACACTTCACAAAGGAAGATATATGTGAATGGATGTGATCACATAAAAGCAGGTTCAACATAACTGGTCATCATGGAAATGCTAATGAAAACTACAATGTGATACCCACTACACACCCACTAGAATGTCTGTGTATCAAGAATTGGTGAGGATGAGGAGCATCTAGAACTCTTAATACACTACTGGTGGGAACATATAATGATGCAGCCACTTTGGAAAGTACTTCAGCAGTTTCATACAAAGTTAAACATTTATTTACCATTTCACCGAGCCATTCTGCTGCTAGGTTGTTGGTGAGAACGTTTGTAAAAAAAAATTGAACTCTCTACTCTTAGAATAGCTATTTTATTCTATGTAAATTATACCTCAGTGAAGTGGTTTTAAAAATCAAAATTTTATGGGGGCCGGCCCAGCGGCGTAGTGGTCAAGTTTGCACGTTCTGCTTCGGTGGCTCGGGGTTCGTCGGTTTGGATCCTGGACACCTACCTACTCACTGCTCATCAAGCCGTACTGAGGTGGCATCCCACATACAGCAACTAGAAGGATGTACAACTATGACATATGACTATGTACTGGGGCTTTGGGGAGAAAAGGGAAAAAAAAGGAGGAAGATTGGCAATAGATGTTAGCTCAGGGCCAATCTTTCTCAAAAAAAAAAACAAAACAGAAATTTTAAAAAATATGAATGACCTGGGAGAAAAGTCATTATATAGCAAAATATAAAATGTACATCAGTCTTTTTGCCCAGCACTTGTACTTTTAGAAATTTTTTCTTGAGGAGATCATTGAATAAGGACTCAAAGTATGTATGAATATTTGTCCCCAAGTTGTTGATAATAGCAAAAATTGAGGAATAACCTAAAAGCCCATCAATGATATAATGATTAAAAAAGCGTATATGCTTTTTTACATATCTGTGAAGTGGAAGTCCGTTTAACATTTTGAAAATGATGCAGTATATATTCTATATTACTCAAAATTCCACTCCTACATATATATCCAATAGAATTGGTACAAATGTTCACTGAAAGACATGTACAAGAATATTACTAGCACTATTCATAAAAGCAAAAAACTGAAAACTAAATGCCTATTAGCAGTAAAATGGATGATGTGTGGTTTATTCACGCAATGCATACTATACTGAGAATGAAATGTCTACAGCTACGTGCAATAACATGGACGAATCTCATACCTACAAGTGACAGAGGCAAGACACAACAGGGTACAGTTGTTGTGAGTCTGTGTATGTAAAGTTCAGAAAGAGACAACAGTAATCTGTGGTGTCAGAGTTAGGATAGTGATTGTACTTGGGAGGGAGAGCGACTGCAATTGGGCTGAACAAGGTTTCTGGGGAACCAGTCATGTTTTGCTTCTTAATCTGGGTGCTGGTTACTCAGGTGTATTCCGTTTGTGCAAATCCACCGAGCTGTACAATTGACATTTGTGCACTTGTCTTTATGAAGGTTATAATTCAATAAAAAATTAAATAAATAAAAACCCGCTCCAAATTAGAGGCGAGAAGTGTGTGAAGCTTTTACCAAAATATTAAGTGTTGGTGCCTTTGAGGGATAGACTTTGGGGGCAACTTTACTTTCTTTATAGCTTTTCAAATAATTAAAATTTTTTACATAAGTATGATCTTTATGTTCAGAAAAATAATGTTAATATTATTTTGGAAAAATGATAGAAAAGTATGAGTTAATATTTCTACAGACTCTCTTCTTTCATTACATTATTTTCTTGATTTTTTTTAACATTATTTTTAAATAGATTACATGTTTGCATGGTCCAAAATTCCAAAAGAAAAAGAATATACATAATGTAAGGTCTCTCTCCCATCCCTGTCCCCCAGTCATTCACATTCTTTCCTTCAAGCAAGCAAGATGCTTTTGGAGCTGTTCTATCCATATACAAATATAAGTGCATATATGTTTATGTGTATTTTATTTACTTTTTCACCATTCTATACCTTGCTTTTTTCACCTTTATATTTTCATATATTTTTTCATAATGTATATTATAGATTTTTCCATAAGAATACCTGAAAAGCTTCTTTATTTTTACAGTTGCATGGTAATCTTGTGGGAGTGTACCGTAATTTATATAGCCAGTCCCCTATTGATAGACATGTAGGTTTTTTTAGTTCCTTTACTAGTATAAAAAAACTGAAACAAATAACTTTGTACAGAAGTCATTTTACAAATATGCTGTGTATCTATAGGATACATTCCTGCAAGTGAAATTATTGAGTCTCAAAAGGCGCATGCTTTGTCATAACGACAGAGATTTCCATGTTCACTCTGGAGGGATTTGAACTGGAGAATTTGTTTTGAAAAATTATGTGTTCTTGCACTTAATAACTATATTTAAATTATCTTTTTAATGTTAGGTTTTTATAACTTTTTACGTAAATATTTTAAATGAAATTGTCTTATATCTTGTATTGCGCATTCAAGTATTTGAGCTCAGTTTAGATTAGTTCTCAGGTCCTTTGTAGATAGGAGTGGGAAAGCCACAATATCCAAAACAAGTTCTGTGTTCCACAGGTGTGACTATTGGGTTAAATACCCATCAGGGGAATCTAATGCCCAAATCCTCTTTGTTAAGAAAATCTCACAAGGAAATGGTCAGTTTATCAACCCTGAAACTTGACTGCAAGGGCCATTCTTGTATGTGCTGTTATATTAATAAATATTGGAAGGATATGACATGCTCTTTCACTTTTACTGTCTTTACTAGTCAACGATGAATCTAGTCGAGATGCTGAAGTCACTGCCAGGGAGCACATGGGTTCCAGCAGCTCCCTACAGTCCCGGGAAGAGAAGCAAGAGCCTGTTGTGGTAAGGCCCTATCCACAGGTGCAGATGTTGTCTACACACCATGCTGTGGCATCGGGCACACCTGTCACAGTGACAGCCCCACCAGCACATCTGACGCCAGCAGTGCCACTCTCATTTTCGGAGGGACTTATGAAGGTAATGGAGAGGTTTAAAATTTCACGTTGAACCGCAGCTAAAGACTGGCTAATGTTCCTGACAGTTTTCACGAAGTGTTAGGCTGTGTCCTAGGATCATAGTTTTTTCTTTTGACCTCTCAGTTCAGCTCTTCTCTGGAACGCAGAGTTCTGCTCTTCCGCAGTGCCTAGTCTCATGCCGCTGGGCAGTTGGCATCACAGGATCTTTTCTAGTATCCATTTTGACGTTGATTTTATTCAGGTTATGGGCATGCTAACTCAGTTTGTATCTTGGAGTGGCACCCTTCTCTAAGGTTTTGTTTTAATAGCTCGCTAATTTGGGGGTATCTGAGATTATTGCCTTGTGTATTACCTTGTGATGATGTTTCAGTTACTGGGAGTTTTGTTTACTTCCGCACAGACTTGGGAGGCAGCATTGTATAGAAGAAAGAATGTGGGCTGTGAGCCATACAGATCTGGGCTTTAGTCCCAGTTCTAGTTTTCACTGTGTGGCTTTGAGCAAGTGACTTAGCCTTGCTTTGTCTGTTTCCTCGTCTGTAAAATGGAAATGCTGGTACTTCATTGGAATAACTGTGATGCTAAGAGATAAAATATATAAGGCTTCTGGCATCTTTGCTGGCGCTCTCCAGGTTTGATTTGTGTACTTTTAACTATAGAATGAAATGCATCACTAGTAAAAAGCTGTTGATATGTTTCGTGTGGTTTTCTGTTTGCAGCCGCCCCCGAAGCCCACCATGCCTAGCCGTCCCATTGCTCCTGCTCCACCTTCTACCTTGTCACTTCCCCCCAAGGTTCCAGGGCAGGTTACCGTTACCATGGAGAGTAGCATCCCTCAAGCTTCAGCCATTCCTGTGGCAACAATCAGTGGACAACAGGTTTTTTTCCTCTTAATTTGCTGATTTTCAAACTGAGATGCCAAGCTGTTGATCATTATTGAATGCCAGCAGTACATTAGGCACTGTACTAAGTGAAAAATTAAACAGTCACTGATACCTGCAAGGGGAAGACAGTAGGTGTGAGAGAAGGATAGCTGTAGGGAGTAACAGCAGTATGCACGGTGGTCTTTGTTACGTAGCCAGTGTGTATCGAGCATCTGCTCTGTGCGAGGCACTACCCTCAGTGGGAGATGCGAATCTAGATAGGACAGTCAGCGTCTTTACGGAGCTCAGGGTCCAGTCGTGCTTGGTTATGGGTACAAAACTGAGGGGTTGACAACAGCCTTACAGCAGTAGTGCTTCTCCAGGTTTTTCTCTGAGGAGAGCAAATGTGCGTCTCTTGAGCAGCTGGTGGGTTCCCTCAAGCGGCGCACCAGTCATGAAGATTTATTTTGAAGTCTTGTGTTTTAACTTAAATGTCTTTTTAAAATTATAGTCCTACTCCATAATATGTATTTGATTTATTTAAATATTTTAAATTACCAGTGAAAAAAAACTGAATCTCAAAACTCTTTCTCTTGAGGTTTTCAAGAAAAAAATTGGTATTCCAAAAAGATGCACTGTGTTTTTTTTCCTTTTGTCATACTGCCAAGTACTCCCAGAAGTACTGGAACCCCCACCTGAGACACAGTGGCATCAGCCTGGGAGAATGTGAGGAAGGGACAGTAAGGGGTGAGCGCAAGAACTGGTAGGGGAGTACCTGCTGGACACTAACTGACTCTTCCTTAGAAATCTTACAGGGCGTGAGGAATGGATGACTGAAGCTGCAGGTGAAGGAAGTAGTGAGCATAGGAAAAAAGAAGCTCTTGGCCAAGACAGAGAAAACAAGTATGAGAGACTAATATTGAAGATGCGAGTGTTTGAGGGTGGACAGTCACATGTGTCGTCCGTTGTAGGGACCTAGCAGCTAGCTAGGCTCAGGGCAGTTGCTAGGTCCTCACAGTCACTTACCATGCCTGCTGGGATGGGTCATCATGCAGCGTGGTGTGCACAAAAAGCTAAATGTCCTTTTCCTTGGGCACTCACTGTCTAAAGAGAACACCCTGACCCACATTTGGAGGCAACTAACTTCCTAGAAGCAATGGCTAAGCACCAATGGCTAAGAGCAAGCACATGAAAATAATATTACATTCTGTTTCTTGCAGGGCCATCCCAGTAACCTGCATCACATCATGACCACAAATGTACAGATGTCTATTATCCGCAGCAATGCTCCTGGACCCCCTCTGCACATCGGAGCTTCTCATTTACCTCGAGGTAAAGACTGCATGTTTTGTTCAAACTTTGGAACTGCAGTGGCAGATCTACATTTGGTAGACGATATGGTAACACAAAACATGTCTAGAATTAGCTTATTAAAGTTGCAGGACAGCAGAAATATACTTAGAGCAATAACATTTTTTGCATGGTCTAGTACGTGCTTATTCTAGTTGCATTCCAGCAAGTGTGTATGTGTGTATATTTGTGTGTGTAAACTTGAAGCAGTTTGAATTTTTAGTATGGTCTAAAGTTTGTCCTTTATAATGAGGAACTCCTCAAAGCTATGATAGTCTAAGCATGGTCTTCATTTTTAATAAGTCACAAATTTTAATACTGAAGATCTTTAAAGTTTAGTGATAATGGTTACTCAAATTTTTTTACTTACATAGCAATAAAATCAATTTATTCTTACAATTAAGTTCTAATAGGTTGTCAGGTGTTAAATTTAATGAGTTTTGTCAGCTACTTGATCAGAAATTTTTACCTTCTATTGGAGAGTGTAAAATCATTATTGACAAAATCAGGCTGACAAATACAAAACCAGGTTTCCTGGGTCCTAACATAACTCAGTGATTCTCAGAGTGAGGGTCACAGACTTCAAGAGGGTCTGTGTAAGGTCAGAACTGCTTTCATGAAAATACTAAGACATCTTTTGCCTTTTTCGCAGTGTTGACATTTGCACTGATGGTGGTTCAAGTGAGCTCACACTGTCTGCTGGTTAAACTGCTGGGGCTTGGCCTGAGTCAGGGCAGCAGCACCATGCTGTGCTGTGCAGTTTGTGCTTCACTGCTACATGCTTGCAGCGAAAAAAGCAAAAAGCCAGTTTGATGTAAGAATGTCCTTGAAAAAGTAATACCGATTTTTTTTTTTCCTGAGGAAGATTTCGCCCTGAGCTAACGTCTGTTGCCAGTCTTCCTCTATTTTGTATGTGAGCCGCCTCCACAGCATGGCCACCAACAGACAAGTGGTGTGGGTCTGTGCCCAGGAACTGAACGCAGCCCGCTGAAGCAGAGCGCACTGAACTTAACCACTGGGCCACTGGGGCTGGTCCAGTACGGGTTATTAAATTACTAAATCTCAACCCTTGAGTGCACATTTTCTTAATTTTCTCTGTGATGAAATGAGAAGTGCACATAAAGCGCTTCAGCTGAATATTGATATACTAAATTTTAGAAATTATTCTGATATTTCCCTAGGGAATATAATTGGAACTATTTAAATTGAGCCCCATAAGTCATACTGATGAAAAAAATTGTTTTTCTAGGTGCAGCTGCTGCTGCTGTGATGTCCAGTTCTAAAGTAACCACAGTTCTGAGGCCGACTTCCCAATTGCCAAATGCTGCTACAGCTCAACCAGCGGTACAGCACATCATTCACCAACCAATCCAGGCACGTCAAGGTTGTGGGTAGTCAGCCAGCAAGTATTAAGTGCCTACTCTTGAGTTATCACTCTGCTAGGCACTGTGAGAGTCCTTTGACCTCAAATGACTTTTGATCTAGTTGCCAAGCTGTAGGGAAGGTTGAATTGTATACAGAGTCATGTGACTGGTTGTAGGAATTTAGAAGAGAGCTAGTAAGGGAAGGCTTTTTTGTTGGGTTGGGTGTGGTAATGGAGCTTCAGAGAAGTGAAGGGGGACAAAACTATGAACAGTGGCGAGGAAGACAGTGATGGTTATATACGATGTTTAGTAGAGGCTAGCTAAATCTGAGAGATTCTGATTTGGATAGGGGTTTATGAACCCCTGAATGTTCTATGCACATGTGTATGCTTTTTGAGGAAGCCAGTCCATGCCTTTCAAGCTTTCTTCAAGGAAATCTATGGCCTCAGTACTACGTAAGTATAATATATTACTAGATGATACTTGTGGTGTCTCTAAATTCAGAACTCTAGGATGTGGAGTGTAAACTTGATTTTATACACAGCAGAGAGCCACTGAGTTTTTTGAACATAGTAATGTACAAAGAAATGTCTTTGAAAGATTAATCTAGCTGAATTACATACAGGAGGTAGAAATTCAAATTCCCTTAGGGGCCAGACTGGTAATATGTATGAAACAGCTGGGGGTTGTTTAAGACAATAAGGAAGAGTGTTGATTAGGCCATGTCCAGCTTAGAGCTTTCAAAGTAAAATAAATAAAAGACGTTTATTTTTATTTGGATACAAACATACTTATTTGGAGGCCTAAGTTTCAAATTATCCTTTTAGTGTTTGGCTTACTATCTTTTATTTCGCTTTTTGTTTTAAATGAAATATTTTTTCTCTTCTTTTGGTAGTCTCGTCCACCTGTGACCACCTCTAATACCATCCCTCCTGCTGTGGTAGCAACTGTCTCAGCCACGAGAGCTCAGTCTCCAGTCATTACTACAACAGCAGCACATGCTACTGATTCAGCACTCAGGTATAGTTGGGGGCTTGAAGATAAGCCATCCCGCCATCCTTCCTTCTCTCGCTTCCTTTCCTTCCTTCATTCCTTCATTCAACTCAGTATTTATTGAGTGCTTTTTAAATAAGCCATATAGTGTTTTAGATACTGAGGGTAAAGTAGTGAGCAAACAGAAAGAAATTCCTGTTCTCATAGAGTGTCTATCTTTAGGGGCTAGAGACATACAATAAAAAAAAAATACGTAGTTTTTTAGATGGTGAAAAGTGCTTTGGTGGAAAATTAGGGTGAATGGGATTTGGAGTGACAGGGTAGGCAGTACGGGGACTTACTATTTCATATACGGTGATCAGGGAGGGCTTTTTTGATAATACATTTGAGTAGAAAATTGAAAGATGTGATGAAGTGAGCCAGAGGGCTGTCTGGGATAAGAGCATTCTAGGCAGTGGAAACAGTAAGTGCAAAGGCCCTGAGACAGGAGTATTTTTGTCACACATAAGGAGCAGCAAGAGGCGAATGGTAGGAGAATAGCAAGGGGTTATTTTAGGAGGTAACAGGGTCCCGAGATCACATAGGGCCTTATGAACCATTCTAAGGATATAGACTTTGCTGGGGTGCAGTGGGAAGCCTTAGTGGAGTTTTGAGCAGAGCAGTGCCATGATCTGAAGTTTTAGTTGGATCAGTCTGGTTGCTGGATAGAGGATGCTGTGGAGAAGTGAAGTTGGAAGAAAGATTGTTTAGAAGGGTATGGAGGCTGGCTTGGTGGCGTAGTGGTTAAGTTCACGTGCTCTGCTTTGGTGGCCCGGGGTTCGTGGATTCAGATCCTGGACATGGACCTACACACCGTCATCAAGCTGTGGCGACATCCCGTATAGAAAATAGAGAAAGATGGGCACGGATGTTAGCTCAGGGCCAATCTTCCTCAAGCAAAAAGAGGAAGATTGGCAACAGATATCAGTTCAGGGCCAATCTTCCTCAGCAAAAAAAAAAAAAAAAAGGCTATGGCAGGAATCCAGGAGAGATGATTGTTGGAGGTGGAAAGACACGGTTAGATTCTGAAGAGAATTTTGAAGATAGTTGACAGGATTCTGGAGGAATTACATAGGGGCTGTGGGAGAATGAGAAGAGTCAGCATAATGCCAGTGCTAGTTGGCCTGTGCAGCTGGGAGGGTGGACTTGCTTTAACTTGAGGTAGAGAACAGTGGGAGGAATAGGTTTGGGGAAGAAATTCCAGACTTTGGTTTTGGGTACTTTAAGGTTGTGCTGACTTCTAAGTACTCAAGTGGAGATGTTGAGATAGGTTGATATATGAGTGGAGTCCAGGGAAGAATTCTGGAGGAAATAAAGGAAGACAATATAGATGGGGAAGAGGTTTATGAGAGAGAAAATGGCTCCCAGTTGAGAGGGCTGTGGGAGAAACAATGTTCTCAGGGGAAAACCAAGATTCATTAGGGCAGAAAGGTAAAGGATGTAGTCAGAGAAGAGGTTGAGGATATAGGGGATTTTGCTAAAGATGGATTATAAATCCAGAGACTACAGTGGAAGGCAAGGGTTGGGTGTTTGAAAAAGGAAAATAGTACAATTAAGAGATTTATGAAGGCATACAGGGGTAAAGTCTGGTTAATGAGGGGTAGTCTCTGATACTTCTTATGAGTGACACGATCAGGGATCAAGACATGATGGTATTTGTCCTCATCCCTGAGCCATGTGGTGGTGGTGAAGCTATGGAAGTTGGGGAAGGCAGTGGCATGTGTGTCGTGCCAGGAGTGCACAGAGTTCCAGTGGTCTTTCTTGATTCTTGCCACTGGTTATAGGGATGCCAGGGAAAGACACTTTGGCAATATAAACAAGAAGTGATTCACTGAACAAAAGCAGGAATAGTAGGCATGGAGAATAGAGCTGTCAGAAACCTAGAGACCGTCCCTAAGACTTGATGACCAGCTGGAAGCAGGGCAGAGTGGTGAGGAAGAGGGAGGAGTGTCAGATGCCTCCTGGGTTTGTTTCTTGCTTGACCAAGTAAATGAAAAGGAAACAAGGGAAAGACAGCAGGTTTTAGAAAGGTTGACTTTTGGGATACTGAGTTTATCTGTGGAACAATTAAGTGGCTGTTGTCAGTGATGGTTGAAGAGATGTCTGTGCCAGAGAGAATGGGTTTAGAGGTCATCAACATGTGGGCTGCAGTGAAAGCTTTGCGGTGTCTGAGTCTATCCAGGGGCAATGAATAGAGTAAGAAGAAGGCCTGGAACAGAACTCAGAAGAATGTAACATTTAACTGCAGAATAGTGCCTAGGACTTACCATTAGCCCTGTCATTTACTAGCTGTGTAGCATTAGGCAAGTTTCTTAACTTCCCTGATCATTAGTCCTCTCTTCAATAAAATGAGGACACTTCACTTTTTGGTAATTGAATATATTGCCTGAGGTACAAAGAGAACAACTGCCCAGCGTAAAACAGACTGTGTGTTGTTCATTTTAACTTTATATTACCTTTAAAAAGTTAACATATTCAGATGGTGTTACAAATTCAAAAGGTATAAATGTGTATACTGTGAAAGCTAGGGTTAAGTTGTATTGTGCTTTTTTTGTTTATTTATTTATTTATTTATTTATTTATTTTGTGAGGAAGATCAGCCCTGAGCTAACATCTGCCAATCCTCCTCTTTTTGCTGAGGAAGACTGGCCCTGGGCTAACATCCATGCCCATCTTCCTCTACGTTATATGGGACACTGCCACAGCATGGCTTGACAAGTGATGCATCAGTGCGCGCCCGGGGTCCGAACCAGCGAACCCCGGGCCGCCGCAGCGGAGCGCGCGCAGTTAACCGCTTGTGCCACCGGGCCGGCCCCAGTTGTATTGTTTTTTAAACCATGTTATCGAAGCATCTGTCTTTTCCAATGTATTGCGTTTTTAATAAAAATGGATATTGAATTTTGTCAGATACACATTCAGCATTTACTCATACAACAAATAACTCCTTGTGTACCTCCTGTGTGCCAGTCACTGCTCTAGGCACCAGAATACACTGGTGCATTCAACAGGCAGAAACTAATGATCAGACGATATTTCTTATATCTAAAACTATGATAAATTCCTAATATGTGACTCCCCTTGAATTCTGGGGATAGAAAGTTTAAACAGGCCAATTTCCATTTTGAAGAAATAGAAAAACATTTCAGAGTACTCTATCCCCCAGAAAAGCACCAGGCCCAGGCGGTTTCGTTGAATTCTGCTAGACTCTCAAAGACCAGATAAACCAATGATAATTAAATTGGTTCAAGGCATAGGAAAAGGACAGATCCCCCCCAAATTTAAGTGGTAAGTCTTACTCCTTCTGTTAAATAGATTCAATCCTGACAGTTTTTGATCATTTTTATTGTTGTTGTTCATTGCTTGGTTGAATGAAATTTGTTCTCTATTGCTTTCTTCAAGAAGGGCTTACAGACCAATATTTTGGGTTTTCACTTGGTCAGAATTGTTTCCCAGATATCCTTATGCATAAACAGTAGTTTGTTTGATAAAGAATTTTTTTGGTTTCTTTATTCTTTCCATGAGTACTTGATAGATATTTTTCCTCTGCCTTCTAGAGCTGAATAATGCTGTACAGAAGTCTCGGGCCAGCCTGATTTTTTTTTAACCCCTTCAAAGTACCTTGAAGTTTCTGCCTGATTGCCTAAGGTTGATTCTTTATCTTGAATTTCAACAGCTTTACTAGGATGTGTTTGGTAATGACCATTATGTATCGTTTTGTTCTGGAACATGATGTGCCTTTTTAATCTGCGGCATAAAACTGTATTTAGGAAAAGTTTTCTTGCATTGTATCTTTATATGTTCTATTCCCTTTTATTTGGAAGGGGCACCCAATTATGTGTTTGTTGGATGTTTTTACATGACTTCCTTACCTAATCCTTTTTAACTATTTTTTCCCCTTTTGACTCTGCTTACTTTTCTCATGATCTTCTCTGTCCCCTACTGAATTTTCAGCATTGTCTTTCATGTTCTGCTTTTAATTTTGCCTTCATGCCTGAAATACCTGAATGGTTTTCTTCTGTTTCTCCTTTAAGCTCTGCCTGTTTATTTTGTCTCCTTCTGCTATCTTGTCATCTCTTCCAGTGAGCTCTTATTGTCTTTGTGTGTTCATTTCCTGGAAGCAGTTATTTCATTGAGTTTCTTCTTCTACTTAATCAAAGCATTTCTAGTGAACTTCCCCCGTTTCTGTCCACCTTTTTTCCTGTAGCATCTTTAAATAGATCTGTGCTGGTTTCTTTCTGACTACTCACCTTTGAATGAATTGAATTTATTCTGGATCAGCTATTTATAGTTGGTTCTCCTTGTAGGCTGGGCTATGTACTGGGTTAGGAGAAATTTTCCTAATAACTCAGGATTCTGTGTTTGAGTTTTTTGGCCGTTACTTCTCTCCTGCCAATGAAGATAGACTGCTCAAAATGGCAAAGTTTCTCTCTTCCCTGGGTCTCACCACACACTGTTTCTCACATGGGGCTTATCTGTGTCTGTGTGATTCCTGATTCATGCTTTGCTTCTTGGATCTTGGAACTGGTCTGAGTCCAGGTCCTGCCTCACTGCCAGCTCCTACTGTTACAAACAAGATTTTGGCTTCCTGTGTCAGAGTATGCTCCTCACTTTGGAGAATTTTACTTTACTGGATTTTATCCTTTAAATCATAGCTGCAGAAATCTTCCCTCCATTGGCTCCTGTGTCCCTGTCTGGTTATCGCTGCCTTTGGCAGTTCTGCTACCTCTTCTGTGGTTTGAGGTTTCAGGTATCTCCTAGTTTTGCCAAAGATGGAGACTGCATTCCTCTTCTTTGTTTTCCTTGTTACTATTCTCTGAGAGGAAAAGGAGAAAATATCAAACTGGCAGTCTCTGCCTGCAGTACTTCTTGTCCTCACTCTAAAGAAGTCAAAGACCCAGCTGAACACTGGGATGGTCACAAGTCCATTTGTTGTAAATTAACCCCATATTTTCTCTATATGTCAAGTTTCTAAATTGGGTCTCTATCCCAGGAGTTGCCTTTGAGGCCATTAAGAAAGTAAACTGATCACTGGGAGAGATGGTACAGTAATTAAGACAACAGACTGGGAAGTACTTTCTAGCTGGCTGACCTTATTTGGGACAGGGGGGAGTTGCCATTATGGACTCGGAGATGTTTTATTTTTTCACTGTGTTTTAATCAAAATCCCTTTCTTTTTCTCTCAGTTGCCCCAAATTTGGCTAGTGAGAGCCCCTGTGAACTGACTCGTGTCCTTTTGATAAGTCCTATTAGTCTTTGAGTGGTTTCTTTCTGGTACATGATAAATCAGGCTCTTTTTTACTTTCCCTGCTTCTGTAGTCTTGAAATCATCCATTTTTCCAAGGATCCTTGGTTCCTTTTAGTGGAGAATGGTGTTTACAGCCCAAGATCTGGGTGCTAGGAGTGTACATGGCTTCTGGGCTGTCATTGCTTTTGGGCTCTTTCTTTGGACAGAGTTAGTCAATATAGTAAAGACAGTCATGTCTTCACACTGAAATCTCCAAAAGAAATTCAGGATTACAGATTTTTTCTTTCTTAGATTTTATATTTGTGTATCTTTCCTCTTACACTGAAAACCCTGTTTCCTAAAGACATTAATATAACTTCTTGGTTTTTTTTTCATCCATAATATACATATTCATCCATAAAAAAATAGTTTCAAAGTAGCAATTCAGAGTCCTAAGCCTGCTTGTCATCAATTAACCCCTTATTTTCTTTGGATTACTACTAACAGTAAGAGTACTGAGTGAGGTTGAAGATTTCTTCACTGTTCTTTTTGTCCTCAGACTAGATCCCACTAAGCAGAGTGGGAATGTGTTCAAGTGGGAAAGTCATTTGAAATGATTCTTTTCTCTGTGGGATAGGTAGTAACATTTTCTTTTTTCTAATTTATATTCACATTTCCAAAACATAAACATACAAAAAGGTATAAAATGAGGAGTGTCACTCTCATCTCTGTCCCACAGATGACAGCGTCCCATGTTCCTCTCCCTTTGCTTTCTAAGGTAGCCTGTTATTAGTTTTTTGGTTATCTTTCAAGTGTGTTTATTATAATTTAATGTATAGTTAGGATTATTTGTGTAAACTTGTTTTTAAATTTAGGATTTGCATTTTGATGTAACTTTTAAACATATGAAATATTGATTTGGCTTACAAGTCAAAGTTATATAAAAAGATGGATTCATGAGTACCCCTGTCCCCTCCCAAGTTGCCATCTGCTCTCGGTAGGTCACCATTTTATTATCCTCCGATGTGCCTTCTCAGAGTTTCTTTTTATGAGACTAAGTATAAACACAGATAAACACATTTTCCTTGTTTCCACTTCTTTCTTACAGAAAATACAGCATATTATATTTATATATACTTCATACCTTGCATTTCTCTCTTTAATATATTTTGGAGCATTCTTTTTTTTTTTTTGGCTGCCTGGTACCCCAGCTTATGGATGTGCTGATGGAGATTTTGGCATATGCTATTGCATGTTTATGGTGGTGTACCTTCAAGGTATATTTGTGGAAGTGGTCAAAGAGTAAATGCCTTAATTTCCTCACCTAGAAAATGGCAATAATATTACCTACTTCAGAGACCCTTATGAGTAACTGTATTAATATTTGTAAAGCAATTAAAACATGCCTAGCATGTAATGTGCAATTATATAAATTAACACTTTATTTTTCATTAGAATAAATGAAAATCAAAGATTACTATCGTCCATGCTTTCAAAAACACTTAAAAACATATCTATTTAATATAAGTATTCTTTTTGGGGTATATTTTGTATGAGCTGGACCTCCTAAAATGTGAGCACATTTAAGTTGGAATTGAGAGACCCTTTCCTAGTGAATGTTGGCGTTCTTCTTTGTTACAAAGATCTTCAAAATTGTTTCCATAATTAGGTTCATCCAACCTAAAATTTGTCATTATTTTAATTGTGTATACGTGTATCTCTCGGAATGTTTTTCTTTTTAAATACTGGGAGTGGATGGCTTTCATGGCACAGTACTTGGTGAGCTACGTTGTCAACTATTAAAAATCCAATCTCCAATAGTAGGCTTTCTCTTCAGTGAGTTCCACCAAGTTCCATACTTGCGTCTGTAGCCAGGCTTTCAGCTTTCCTTTGAACTCAAATGATGTGTCGTTGAGTTCTCTTTCTACAGGGAGAAGAACCATCCTTTATTCAGTTTGTAAACTTTATTCACCAGTATCCCACCAGGTCTGATTTTAAAGCATTTTTGAATGAGGATCCTCCTTATGTTGAAACCATTGCTTAGTTTGGACACATGAAGTCCCGATCACATTTTCATCTTTACTTAATCACATTTTCTTCTTCCTAGTTCATTGTTCACATGGTTCCAAAATATAAAAGCATAGTAATGTATGTAGTAAGGAGTATCCCTCTCTCCTCTGTCCCCAGCTACCAAGTTCCTGTGGTTCTTTCCCTTTGCCTTGCCAGGGTAACCCCCAATAGCTTTTTAGTACCTTCCAGTGTTTCTTAAATACAGTCAATTTCAAATGCAATTCTTACTTTTATGCTTTTTTACCCAAAATGTTATTTAATTGATATAATCTTCTTTACTTTTTTTTTCATGTCACAACATATATTGAAAGCTTTCCATTTTAGTACACAGAGAGTGTCATCATTCTCTTAGTAGCAATAAAGTGATCCATTGTATAAATGAATTTGAGGTTGTTTCCAGTACTTTACTGTCATAAATGATATTGCAGTGAATAACCTCATACTTATGTCATTATGCATGTGTGCAAGAATATCTGTAGGATAAATTCCCAAAAGTAATCAGAGGGTATATGAGATTATAATTTTGATAGCTGCTGTTTAATTGTCTTCCTTAGCGTTTATACCAATTTATACTCCCTCCAGAATGTACCTGTTTCCTTATAGCTTGAACAACAGAGTATGCTGTCAATTTTTTGGATTTTTGCCAATCTGATAGGTGAACAAGGACATCTCAGTGTACTTTAAATAAGGGTTTTTTTTTTTTTAAAGCTTTTTTAATTTTTTTTTTTTTTCCCCTAAAGCCGCAGTAGATAGTTGTATGTCATAGTTGTACATCCTTCTAGTTGCTGTATGTGGGACGTGGCCTCAGCGTGGCCAGAGAAGTGGTACGTCGGTGCGCGCCCGGGATCCGAACCCGGGCCGCCAGCAGTGGAGTGCGCGCACTTAACCGCTAAGCCACCGGGCCGGCCCAAGTTTTTTTTTTTTGTAATTTTATTTATTTTTTTCCCCCAAAGCCCCAGTAGATAGTTATACATCATAGTTGCACATCCTTCTAGTTGCTATATGTGAGATGCGGCCTCAGCATGGCTGGAGAAACAGTGCGTCGCTGCGCGCCCGGGATCCGAACCCTGGCCGCCAGCAGCGGAGCACGCGCACTTTACCGCTAAGCCACGGGGCTGGCCCTTAGTGTACTTTAAATTGCATTCCTCTTCCTATGAGTGAGGGTGAGCATCTTTTCTTTGTTAAGGGGCCATTTGTGTTTTCTTGTTAACAAACTGGCTATTCATATCCTCTGCCTGTTTTTTATTTGCCTGTTACTTTTTTCATTGATTTCTAGGAGCTGTTAGTATATTAAGAAGATTACATGTTCATCTCTGAGTCTTTTGACTTTGCTTATAGTGTGTTTTGCTATGTGGGAGGTTTGCTTATTTGTTCACAGAGTTAAATTTATTGATCTTTCATAGCTTTTGGATTTTGAAAAGCTTTTAATAATTAGAAAGCTCTCCCTCACTCCAAAGTTATAAAAGAATTCTACTGTCTTTTCTTCATGTACTTTTTTATTTTCTGTCATCTTTAATCATTTTTGTATTTATTTTGGTGTACTGTGTGAGGTATGGATCCAATTTTATTTTTTCCAAATGGCTACATAGTCTTCCCAACATCGTTTATTAAGTAGTTAATTCTACCCCCTCTGACTTGAGGTGCCAACTTTGTTATACTGTCAAGTTTTCTTGCCATTGCTGCAATTTTCAGTAGCTTGCTGCCAGTTAATTTGACATGCTGTCTGTCTTGACATCCCTTTCAATCGTTAGGCAATCATACCTAACTTTTTGTCATCTGGTAAGGAATGAGATAAAGTTGGGGTGAGGGTCAGTGCTTCAAGGGTCGTAGGTAAAGCTGCTGTTAATCAAGGTTGTCTGTAATCGTCTGTCCTAACGGTGAGAACCTTAGTGTGTATCTTCAGCTTTGTCCACAAAGGGAAGTGTGTTTGTTATGATAATGCTTACTGGAGATTGTCACTGAGTATTGATTAACTGTAATGACTAGGGATTGATTTATTTGGTTCCTAGTATGCGTTGATACTTTTTAAAATGAGGCTTACAGCAGTTTCAGGAGAGAAACTCACTGGGCCATTTACTTCATTTGTTCAACTGTGGACCTCACAGACCTATGAAGAAACATAACTCTGTGACTATGACATAGTACAAGATGTTAAATGGCCTCCACTGCCTGCATTGTGTCTGGAGACAAGTTATAAATCATAATGTCTTTTCTTTCTTTTCAGTCGGCCAACTTTGTCTATCCAGCATCCACCATCTGCAGCAATTAGTATTCAGCGTCCTGCCCAGTCACGGGATGTGACAACAAGAATCACACTGCCATCTCACCCTGCCTTAGGGACACCAAAACAGCAGCTTCATACCATGGCTCAGGTAAAACAAGAGGTGAAGAACCATCTATATACTCTGTGGGTTAAAACCAGAATTGTGCAAAAGTTGCCAAGAACCTGGCAATATTGAAGGCAGTGATTGCTTTTAAACTGGGTTGAGTGGGAAATAGTCTTGTTTATAACTCTGTGTTGTGGGATTTCTCCCCACAGAAAACTATCTTCAGTACAGGCACACCAGTGGCTGCAGCAACAGTAGCGCCAATCTTGGCAACCAACACCATTCCTTCAGCAACCACGGCCGGTAAGTTGGCAACCTTGCTTTCCTGCCAAGGAAGATTGAGACATAAGCGGTGGGTTAATTTTTCACATTTCAGCTTCAGTCAGAGGAAAAGAATAGGCTAGAAAAACTCTCTTGACTTTTCCCAAGAGCTTTTCTCAGGTTTTTCAGAATCTGTAATGTGTGCCGAGACCATTGTTGAAGAATTTCCTTTTTTCTCCTATTTCAGGATCTGTGTCCCACACGCAAGCTCCCACGAGTACAATTGTTACCATGACAATGCCCTCACATTCATCCCATGCGACTGCAGTGACCACCTCCAACATCCCAGTTGGTAAGTGTCGTGTGGCCTTCAGACGGACGCTTCAGAGGAATTGCTCAGCCCTTCTGACCAGGTCTTCATATAGATGGCTAGCATTGATTTTTTTTTTTTTATTGTTGTTGATTTTCAAAGCAACACTGAATTTAACTTTTAATATTATCTGTCATACAGATTTGGCATTGACAATAGGGGAAAGAAAGAGGATAACAGTTTTTGAGAGCTCAAAGTAAACTTTATTGTAACTCTGCTTTTGACTTCCTCCTTCATCAGACTTGACCTCTTCTCTGTGTACCTTTTAAAGAAATAAGTTAACCTGACTGACATAGTTAGACAAGAACTACAGGAAAAGCAAGAAAGAAGCAAAGATCTGGAGTGAAGAGAACACTGATAGATGGTTCAGGAAAAATCCCTGAGCTGCAGCAGTGGGAGAGCACTAGACCTCACGTCCTTCACCCTGGCTCTTGTCTCAGTGCTGCTTGACGTACTGCATGGCCATCCCAAAAGCTCTTCTAGGCTTTGTTTAGTCCCCTTTCAAATATTAAGGGAATATTAAAAAATCTTTGAGGAGGCCGGCCCAGTAGCATAGTGATTGTTTGCTCTGGCTTCAGCGGCCAGGGGTTCGCGGGTTCGGATCCCAGGCGCGGACTGATGCACCCCTTGTCAAGCCATGCTGTGACGGCCACATATGAAATAGAGGAAGATTGCACAGATGTTAGCTCAGGGACAATCTTCCTCACCAAAAAAAAAAGAGAAATCTTGGAGATTTTTGAGTCTCTGGCAGCAGGGATTGGCAGACTGTTTCCATAGGGCCAGATGGGAAATGTGTTAGGCTCTGTAGGCCTCGTAGGCCTGTGCCTCAGTGACTCAGCTGTGGGTGAGATGTAAACAAATAAGCATGGCCCTGTTTCAGGAAGACTGTTTATGGACACAGAAATTTGAATTTCATATAGTTTTCGTGTGTGATGAAATATTCTTTTTTATATTTTTTTCCCCAACCATTTAAAAGCGTGAACCCATTCTCAGCTCACGAGCCATACGAAAAGGTATTGGGCAGGATTTGGCCCGCAGGCTACAGGCTGCTGATGCCTATCCTCAGGGCTGATATCTCACTGTCACAGCTTCCAAAGCAGAGACTGTGGCCTGTGAGGCAGAACACTGCTCTCTTGAACCCAGAAGCCCCAGGTTTTGGTTGCTAGTGTTACCTTTGCCCTGGCTCTCTAACGGTGAGTATGTCATCTTACTGTTCTCCACTCCCAAAGATATAGGAAAGCGGCTCTATTTTTAATATACTGTACTTTTAGAAGTAGGACTGCTTTTTGTGAGAGGGGACACTGACATACTTGATCAGAAATCTGGTGCCCAGACACAGAAGTGTGGCTTCCCTGCCTGCCATGTCCCGGCCCTGAGGTGGTCCCTGCCTCCCTGCTTCCTCCTTCGCATTCGAGACAGGATGCAGCTTCATAGCCCTCTTATTGAACTTTGAGGACGCTGTTCCAGAACAATGGTAGACCCAGGAAACCCCTTCTCCTCTTTTAGATAACTGGGCCATGCCAGCCCTTAAATTGGCACTAAGCCCCACAGAAGGCTTTTAGCAGAGAGAATGCTGCTGCTGGGTCTGTCTCACATTACTGCTCACTACAGCTTGGCATTGGAGAAACCAGACTTCTCTCATACCCCTCTGAATTTAATTTTGCTGCTGTGAAAAGAAGTTGTTTTGTGTGTGTGTGGTTTTAGTGTTAATGCACTGTTGTTGAAAAAAGTCGTCGATCGTTCCATATTGTCATTTTCTGGCTGTACCCAAGAGTGTCATGAGTTATCCTCAGCCCTGTAACGTCAGAGCCAACCACACCCATTCTTTTAATGTTTACAGTCGAGAGTCTCACTAGGGAATCTGAAACTTTAAAGAAAATCATACCAGTAAAGAGGGGGCAGTGTACCCTAGGTGCTCTCGGGTTTTGTCTTGAACCCTCTCTGTGAAGAATTATTTGGAGAATAGTTCTTGTTAATGTCACTGTACCTTGCTAAAAGATCACACTGTGGAAGTAAATTCACTAAAAGTACCAGGAGACGGAAATATGTTTCTTCATTTGGCTAAAATTAGTAGCTTTTTGCCTGTCCTAAGTTGACTGTATTCTATATCTCCCCAGCTCATTTATCTTTGAATTTTAACCATTTACCAAATTCTAGATATGCAAATCATTTGACAGAGGTGTCCAAACAAATTTAACATCTGCCACTTACTGTGATTGGTTTTGTCAAGTTGCATCAGGTTCAGGCTCTAGTTTTGTTTTCCTCTTTTATAGCAACCCAAATATTTCTTTATTACATTATAATAGGATCCCTGTACAAAGGTACCCCAGTTGAGAAGGGAAACCTGATATTAACTCTAGAGCATTGGTTTTCAGGTTGGGGTATGGGAGATATATTAAAATCAACTAAGCGGCTTTTTCCAAGTGGTACTTGCTTTCTCCAGGTGAGATTAAATATTGAATTCAGCCATTGTTACTAATAGGCGTGTGTTGGGTCAGGGGAAGAAAGCCTGATTAACCACGAGCATGGAGTTTTCACATGTAATGAATGTGCATTTCCAATAGAGTACCCTCCTTATTTTTCTCCAATGCTCTGGCCCACACATGACAGTGGTCTCAGAATTATAAAAAGCAGAGTCAGATGATTATAGCATTCAGAAAATGGATTATCTTTGCAGGATAGCATCATGGCCAACTTACAATTTCTGCATTATATTTTTCCTTTAGTTTTATATATTTATTTTTAATAATTGAGAATGTGTTGCTTTTTTAATTAGAAAAAACTTAAAGGTATAAATTCATGGGTGTGTTTATGGTTACCAGCCACTGGTTAGCTACTCTGTTACATGACAGCTGCACTCCTATTGAAAGCATTATTTTCTCCTACCTTTTATGGGCACAGTGAAAAAACAAGGCTTAGTTGCTTTCCACTCGGCACCCCCCCTAATGATTACTGATGGAAAATGTGTCATGCCGGCTTCTCTCTGCATTAGCCCATCGATGCCATCATCAGTGGTCGAATTGGGCAGCCCAGCTATCATCCTGCAGAAGCTTCTCCAGCTGCCTCCCTCAGGAAATAGCTGGGCATCGTGGTGGGTTTGTGCTGCTTTCCTTTGGTCTTCAGTGCGCTGCACGTTGGGTAACGTGGTGGCATCATCCTAGTCTCCAGTGATTTTGTGCCTGTCACTGGTGTAACTTGGCTCTTTACACAGATGGAAGCTGTCCCTCTATGTCTCTGAGGTCACAGCTTTTCTTTCCAAGTTCCCAAGAGTTAACAGACAGGTCTGTAAGAACAGTAAAGTGTGTCCCAGTTCAGCTCTACTTCTAAACAAAATCTGATTGCAAATTGTAGAGGAGAGCAACTTTGAGCCCAGATGAAATTTGGAAAGTCTATGGTCATTTTGATTTTGCTGTAAACTGTTATGCAGAATCATAGGACATAAGAAATTAAGTGATTATCTAGAAAAGAAGGCCTCCTCAGAGATGAGGAAACTGAGACTTAGAAATTAAAATGATCTATTCATTACTAATTAGCTACATATTAGTAAGTAGTTATGGACCATAGAGTAGAATCTCAGGTCTTTGCCATTTGTGTATTCAAATTTTTGTTGAATTTTTTTTTAATTAAAAAGTTTTCTCCTTTTGAAGAAAAGGTCTCCAAGAAGCTAGGTGAGGGGGGAAAGGGCCTGGTTGCTGATATTTTTGTTAAAGTATTAATGTTGAACCCTGCTTTGAGAAATAACAATGTGAGTATGTCAGTGGATTATTGGGTTGAAATAATTCAGTTGAACCTTACGTTCTCATCTTTCATTTTTTATTTTGATTAAAAATCTATCCTTTTTAGTGTGCCTTCGTAAGATTGCTGCTGGCCAAGAATGTTTTGGCATGCCAGTAATAGCATATGAGCAATAATGTAACTGGATTTTACTGCTTCTAGCTAAGGTGGTGCCTCAGCAGATCACACACACTTCTCCCCGGATCCAGCCTGATTATCCCGCAGAGAGAAGTAGCCTGATTCCCATTTCAGGACATCGGGCCTCTCCAAATCCCGTGGCCATGGAAACCCGAAGTGACAATAGGTAGGAGGGAATGTGCCAGTTACACTGCCCCATTGTGCCCCGTTAATTGTTTTGATTTTTCAAATTTTCCCCCTGAAAATAATACGTTGTATAATTTCCTTTTTAGTTTTATGAAAGTGTGCTGTATGTATTCAGCCTTTCTCCTTTTGATGGTCATTCTCCTAGTATCCATTTTTTTGTTTCGTGTTTCTCTGTTTATTGTGAGTGATTTCGAGAACAAGAGTTGCACCATTGTGGCTCTTTATCCCTGAGTACTTCCATTTTTATCTCCAGAGAACAAAGACATTCTCTTAACCACAGTACAGTTATCCGAAATGATTCTTTAGCTTTCCATTTGCTTTCATACATTGACATTTTTGAAGAGTATAGACAGGCCAGTTATCTTCGTAGAATATTCTTCAATTTGGGCTTGTCGGATTGTTTCCTCATAGTTAGATGCAGGTTATGCTTTTCTGGAGCAAATACCACTTAGGTGATATGTTCTTCTCACTGTTATTACACCAGAGAGCTCATGCTATGCCTTTGTTCCATTGTTAGTTATGTCAACATTAATTACTGGTGAAGGTGACATTTGCCAGATTTTTCTACTAGAAAGGTGTATTATTCTCCTTTGTAAACAACTAGTCGGTGTGGAAATACTTTGAGACTATAGATATCCTGTACCCCAGTAAACTTGCACTTAATAGTTTTAGTGTCTATTGACGATTCTTGGCTGAATCAGTTGATGCTTGCAAAATAATGACTTCTTCTTTCTTTTTTTGGCTAGAAAAGATTTGCTCTGAGCTAACATGTGTTGCCAATCTTCCTCTCTTTGTTTGTTTTCTTTTCCTCCCCTAAGCCCCAGTACATAGTTTTATATCCCAGTTGTAAGTCCTCCTATGTGAGCCGCCGCCACAGCATGGCCACTGGCAGATGAGTAGTGTGATTCCGTGCCCGGGAACTGAACCCAGGCCTCTGAAATGGAGTACACCAAACTTTAACCACTAGGTCATCAGGGCTGGCTCAATAATGACTTTTTCTAACTATCATTTCATCCACATTTTTCACTTGGCATTCTGATGAAGAGAAATTTTCTCTATCCCCATTTATTTTGTTGTGTATTTTATTTTTAAAATCAGCATGGGCTCATGGATTTGGTTTTATTCATTGTTATAATCCATTACTGTCATCTGTTTTGATGCTCAGTTGTCTCCGGGTTGGTCCTTGGGAGCCACTTCACACTAGTTCCTGTGGGTTTTGCCATGTCCCGGTCATTCTAGCCCTTCCTTAACTTCCCACCACAAGATACTCCAAGCTCCTCCTGAACATTGTCTGTCTGAGCCCTGGAATCTACCATTTCTTCAAGGAGCCCTGGTTCCTTTTCATCATTTAGAAACTAAGGTCTGTTCATTGTTATTGATTGTCATTTCTTCTAGGCCCTTTCAGCAGGCAGAGGTGGGAAGTATGTAACATTTTAAAAACCCTGTAGTACATGCTGATAGCTCTAGTTTAACCCCATTACCTCCCCCGTTCCACGTTTACGTCTCCCTTCTTCCATAGCAAGGACCTGGTACACTACACATGAAGTAAGTGACTTCAGGATTGGATCATTTTTATTTATTTATTTTTGTGTGTGTGAGGAAGATTAGCCCTGAGCTAACATCTGCCAATCCTCCTCTTTTTGCTGAGGAAGACTGGCCCTGGGCTAACATCCGTGCCCATCATCCTCCGCTTTATATTTGGGACACCTGCCACAGCACGGCTTACAAGCGGTGTGTCGGTCAGCACCCAGGGTCCGAACCTGCGAACCCCGGGCCGCCAAAACGGAGCGCGTGAACTTGACTGCTACGCCATCAGGCCGGCCCCTGGATCATTTTTAAATTTTCTTGTTTGATTATCACGGTGTATAGGAATACTTACATTACAGGTTTTAATATATTCATCTTGTGTCCATCCACCTTACTGAACACACCTATCAGCTCTTAAAGTTTGTAGATTCTCTTGGATTTCCTATGTAGCTGTTTATTTCATCTGCAAATAAAAACAGTTTTTTGAGGCATGAGGGAGTTTTTTCTCATTTCCATTTTGAATACTTATGTTTTTCTTAATGTTGTTGGCTAGAGTTTTCAATATGATGTTGAATGGAGCAAAGATAGTGAGCATCCTTGTCTTATTCCTGACCTGAATGGGAATTCTTCTGAAATTTCCTTATAGATTTTGGTAGATAGTATTTTCAGTTTGAGGAACAAAGTTTCTTTCTATTCCTTTTTTCTTAGGCATTTACATCATGACTAAGTATTGAATGCTATTAAATATTTTTTGTATATCTTTTGCGAAGTTTCAAACGATTGTTCTCTTTTAATTTTTAATATGATCTAAGACAGTAATAGAAATTCTGATACTGAATCAATCTTATCTTTCTGTGATAAACCTTATTTGATCATGATGTATTTAATTTTATATAGTACTTAATTCAGTTTTATTTAGGAATTTTTGTGTAAGTGTAGAGAGTGAGATTTATTTATAATCTTTTCTCATATTCTTCCTGTCCAGTTTTGGTATCAAGGCTATGTTAAGCTCATTTTAAAAAATAAGTTAGATCCCTTTTCTTTTTCTGGTTTCTGAATCGGTTTGTGTAAGTTGGAGATTATCTGTTTTATGTATGTTAGATAAAATTTGCCAGTAAAAACAATCTGAGCTTTAGTCTTTCAAGTGGAATTGAGTAGGGAAGAACTTTGATTACTGAGTTTTTTGAGTTGGTCTTGGTAATTATTATTCTATATATTTTTTATGTTTATTGATAATAGTTATTTATAGTATCCATTTCTTTTTTAAAACATTGTTTTCACTAGATCTTTGTCCTTTGATCTAATAGTTTGGGACACAGTTTGGGAAATGTTGGTATGGCAGTTAGGAGTATGAAGGGGACCTAGGGGATAGGATCATTTGAAGGTAAAGAAGAAAGGAGACCATTTTGTTTCATATTATCTGTTTTTTATCTATAGACCGTCTGTTCCTGTTCAGTTCCAGTACTTTTTGCCAACGTACCCACCTTCTGCATACCCACTGGCTGCGCACACATACACCCCAATCACCAGCTCTGTCTCCACCATCCGACAGTATCCAGGTATGAGTGATGCTGTTAACGTGACTTTTAACATATTAATTTTTGCAAGCAATAAGATAGAAATTGATCAGTATTTCTGGTATGGGTTTAATTACTCTAGCTTCTATTTGCAGATTAGGCTAAAATCTGAAGGTTTAAGATTTTAAATCATCTCTGTGATCTGTTAAAAGGTTGTTATTTATTAGTGATATTTGCATGATTTTATCCCACCCTGAGGATAATTACGTTAATTTTTGTTAGACCTTAAACTGGTAGTACCGTTAAAATGAATAAAGCTATACTCCTATGGAGCTTCTATTGTTCTGTGGGATATCTATTGTATTTTTAATGTTAGTCCAGTTATGCTCACCACTTATTATCCTGACTTGTAAATAGTGTTCTTTTTGCCAATCCAGAAAAAACAATACTTAAACCTCAGGGTTTGTGTAATCTTTTCCTGTGGGACCCTCAGCTCACTTTAGGCATAAGACGGCCAGATTGTCCAGATTGTGGACCTTGCTTTCTGTTGTGCAATTTAGGGCTACAGCCAGGGCCTCTTGTGGCCACTGACCACTTGAAAGGGGACCTGGTGCAAATGAAGAACTGAATTTTTTGTTATACTTAATTAAAATTAGGGGAATTTCAAATATGTTTGAAACAACTTAGTAATGTGATATTACTTTTTCAAAATTTTAGATTTTATGGAATCAAAATACAAATCAGATATTTCTGATAAAAATTTAGTATCTGAATTGAGATGTGCTTTAAGAGTAAAATACAGTGAATTTTGAAGACATACTGTGGAAAAGAGAATGTAAAATATCTTATTAAAAGTTTTTATAGTGATTGCATTTTGAAATGATAATATTTTAGATATATATTGGATTAAACAAAATATATCATTAAAATTAATTTGGCCTGCTTCTTTTTACTTTATTAATGTGGCTCCTAGAAAATTTAAAATTGCACGTATGACTTAGGTTTCCATTGGACAGTGCTGGTCTAAAACTTTCAGACACTGTAAGGTGTTTAGATAGTTTTGAAAACAGATTTCTCCATCTCTGAATTGGTTTTTTGTTGTTGTTTCCCTGAAAACCTTCCCCAAGTTTTATTTTAATTTTTTCATTTAATGTGGAAAAATATCTGAATTATTCTGAATGTTCTGTCATGTTTTACTGTACATCAAAGTAATAACATCTTTTTAAAGGAAATTCATAACAGTGTTTTTTATTAACAATCTTATAAAGATAAAACCATGTTTAATTGATTGTTGCCAAAAGTAGGATGCAGAAAGTATCATGTTGACAATTAGGAAGTAAATTTCATGAGAGAGAGAGCGAGTGTGTGTGTGTGTGTGTGTGTGTGTGTGTGATTAGGATTATTGCTGACAATTTTCAGGTCTGTCAGTAACAACACCTACCTTAAGGTTCCTCTGCTAGGTGATACTTCTGTAGCAATGCTGTCATTTTGTAACTCATGACCAAAACGTATTTCTCTGAATGCTAGCCAGCTGAAAAGTACATGCAGAGTCTCTCTTGAGCTAAAACTGTCTATGCAGACACTATCATTTATATAAACGTTTATTGTAAAAATCCATCATATGAGCACTGTCAGAAGTGTTGGGGATTCTGCCAATCATCTGTTTCTCTGCATTATTATTTTTCCAAGTTTCTTCTTTCACTACTACAGTAGCCCTGGTGGATACTAACACAGAAAAATGAATAGTACAGTCAAAACACTTTCATTGTTTTGTCATTGTTGATGCAGATGAGAAGTGCTACATTATTTTTCAGACATGTGAATCTAAACATGAACGGACATGACTGAAGAAATGATTTATTAACCAAACTACAGTGTCCTATTTTTAAGCATTATGAATTCAGTGGCTTATTTTAAATGATTTTAAGGCAGATGTTCTTCAAATCAAGAAGAGGATAGGAAAATTTGTATATAACAGGCTCTGATCTTGCCAAATATGGGGTTACTCTAATATATAGTTTATTTTATTTGTTTATTTTTTTTTTTAAAGATTTTATTTATTTATTTTTCCCCCCAAAGCCCTAGTAGATACTTGTATGTCGTAGCTGCACATCCCTCTAGTTGCTGCATGTGGAACATGGCCCCAGCATGGCCGGAGAAGCGGTGCGCACCCGGGATCTAAACCCGGGCCGCCAGCAGCGGAGCGCGTGCACTTAACCGCCAAGCCACAGGGCCGGCCCTAATATATAGTTTATGATAGATTAGACCAGCTGTTCATAGTCTCCGGTTGCTTATAAAGATGGATTCTTGGTCCTTTAGTTATTAGTTAAATATAGCTATGAATATATGATGATGAGTATATATACATAATTTATATAGTTTGCAAGTAATTGATCTCTCTCAAATTGTTCCTGAAATTTTACTTGTTTCAGAGATGTTTTCCAGTTCATTCATACATTTATTAATTCCACATATATTTATTGAAAGTATATGTAAGGTCCTGTGTAGGTTTTATTTTTTAAATTGACTCTTAAACAGACCTTGCTTTCAACAAGCTTGGAGTCTAGTAGGGAGATAGGATGTGAAGAGAGCTTACAAGAGGGAGTGTGCTAAGGCCCGGAAGAGAGGCTGGGGCAAAGCCATGCTGCTGCTGAGGTGCAAGAAGTTACTTCCACTTGGCGGGGGTCGGGGGGAGGGGTCAGGAATGATTCCCTAAAGGAAATGACATGGGGAAAGCATCTCTCAGAATGGTAGGACAGAGCTGTGGTGGGATTGGAGAACAGCACGTTTCTGCCTGTGACTAAAGCATTAGCATAGAATGTGTGCTTGGAACAGCATCGGTTTTGGCAGGAGCATAGTGCGAGTGAGGATACGAAGCATGGAGTAAGACTGGATCTTGAAAAGGCTTGGAATGATGACTAGACTGCATGTTCTACAACAGGCAAATGCCCAAAAACTATTATTGAATAGAAATAACAAACGTACACTTCTCAGGAAGAAACTAATAATGCTCTATGGATTATTTATTTATTTTATAACAATGCAAGAATTGCAATAGAGCATTGACTATAAATTTACATGTGCTAACTTTTCGCTATACTTTTTTCATTCATAATAATAACTTTTTTTTTTCCTGGTGAGGAAGACTTCCCCTGAGCTAACATCTGTTGCCAGTCTTCCTCTTTTTGCTGAGAAAGGTTGGCCCTGGGCTAGCATCCGTGCCCATTTTCGTCTACTTTATATGAGATGCCACTACAGCATGGCTTGATGAGCGGTACATAGGTCCATGCCTGGGATTCGAACCTGTGAACCCCGGGCTGCCGAAGTGGAGCATGTGAACTTAACCACTACGCCACTGGGCTGGCCCCTAACTTACCTTTTTTTTAAGCTCTATATGGTTTATAAAACTTATTCAATTAAACCTTTTTTTTAATTGAGGTATAATTGACATTAGTTTCAGGTGTACAACTTAGTGATTTAATATTTATATGTATTGCAAAATGATCACCATAATAAGTCTAGTTAACATCTGTCACCATACATAGTTACAGAATTCTTTTTTCTTGTGATGAGAACTTGTAAGATCTACTCTTTTAGCAACTTTCAAATACGCAATACAGTATTATTAACTATAGTCGCCATGCTGTACATTATATTCCCATGACTTATTTGTTTTATAATTGGAAGTTTGTACCTTTTGACCCCCTTCCCCCGTGTTTCTCACTCCTAACCCCCCACCTCTGGCAACCACCAGTCTATTCTCTGTATCTATGAGTTCAGTTTGTCTTTGTTTTTTTTTTCCCACATATAAGTGAGATCATACGGTATTTGTCTTTCTCTGTCTGGCTTATTTCACTTAGCAAAATGCCCTCGGGGTCCATCCATGTTGTCACAAATGGCACGATTTCCTTTCTTTCTTTCTTCCTTTTTTTTTTTTTTTTTTTTGTGAGGAAGATTAGCCCTGAGCCAACATCCGTTGCCAGTCCTCCTCTTTTTGCTGAGGAACATTGGCCCTGGGCTAACATCTGTGCCCATCTTCCTCTACTTTATATGGGATGCTGCCACAGCATGGCTTGACAAGCGGTGCGTCGGTCCACACCCAGGATCTGAACCTGCGAACCCTGGGCTGCCGAAGTGGAGTGCATGAACTTAACCAGTATGCCACCGGGCCGGCCCCATGATGTCCTTTCTTTTTATAGCTGAATAATATTCCTTTGTATGTGTGCGTGTGCGTGCGCTATGTTGTGTTATGTGCTATGTTACATGTATATATATATCATATTTCTTTATCCATTCATCCATCGATGCACGCTTAGGTTGTTTCCATATCTTGGGTATTTAAATAATGCTGCAGTGAACATGAGGGTGCATATGTCATTTTCTGGATTGTTTTGATGACTGAGAAGAAAAGTCTTTTGTGTTTATTTTCTTTCCACAAATAGTGACAAATCCTTTCTTTTTTGTTGCTCCCTAGGAATGCTTTTGTTTTCAGTTTTGTTGTTGTTGAGTTTGTTTTTATACACAGTAGGTGAGATATTTGCCTTACAGAAAAAAGGAAACTTGCATGTTGTCTCTTTTCAGTGGATATATTGAATTTAAAATTCATAACTACTATATTTCAGAAATGCCTGTGATAATGGTTCTATCAATTAAAGGAAAGATTCTTGACCTGGGAGCCATGGATGTATCTCAGAACTTTTATATTAATTATTTAGCACAGTTGCTTGGCTCACATTTGGAATTTAATAGGTGATTGCTTTTTTCTTGTTTTAATGCTTTTTCTAGTAATCTGCAGAAAGATCATATCAAATTGGTAGGAAATGAGGGGGAAAAAATCCTATATAGAGAGTTTTATGTAGTACCTTTTTTTTTTTCAACTGAGGATTTAGATCTTGCACAATGAGAAAAATTCTGTTTTCGTTTTAGAGTTTTTCTCCTTATGTGGACTGTGTCTAACCAGAGCTAACATTCTTGTACTCACTTTTTGCATCGTTTTTAGTTTCAGCTCAGGCTCCAAACTCTGCCATCACAGCTCAGACTGGTGTTGGAGTGGCATCTACAGTCCACCTAAATCCCATGCAGTTGATGACAGTGGATGCATCTCATGCTCGACATATCCAAGGGATCCAGCCAGCGCCCATCAGTACACAGGGGATACAGCCAGCTCCCATTGGGACCCCAGGAATACAGCCAGCACCAATTGGCACACAAGGAATTCACTCAGCAACCCCAATCAGCACACAAGGACTTCAGCCTGCACCAATGGGTACTCAGCAGCCTCAGCCTGAGGGAAAGACTTCAGGTAATTTTAATTTTTTGCATGGAAGTTGGTGTGGAGGAAAGAGATACACTGGATTTAAATCCTGGTTCTGCCACTTGCTGGCTTTGTGGTCTCAGGTAATTTCTCTAGGCCTTAGTTTCCTCTTTGTAACATGAGTTTCTTAGAATTTATCTGTCAGGGTCATTGTATGTATTAGAAATTACATAAGCAGCCTAATGTGCATTTGCACATGGCGAGAAGCATTCTGTAAAGAGCTCGTAGTTGAGAAAGCAAATTCTCCTTATAATGGTAGTGTTCTCATTCTGTTAAGATTTTCTTTGGAGTTGTGTGTAAAACTGTAAAATTAAGATAGGTTGGAATGTTAGTACCCATTATTGGAATGTTAGTAATCCCATTATTAGGGATTGAGAGGCAGAGAGTGGTATTTTACAAAAACTGTAGAACATTTCTTGAAGTATATTATGTTCTTTGTGTATTTTACCTCATTTATTAGTAATTACAGTTATAGAGCAAAGAAAAATGGATACTGATTATGCATCAGTAGACTTAGTAACCTCTCCCACTTTGCCATCTGCTTTTAGGCAGATGAAAGTTGTGTTCCTATCCCTTATCTTCTTGAAATTGGACAGTCTTAACATGGGACGTCTAATTCTGGTGGTCTAATGGTTTTTGTTTGTCTTATGTGACATTTTAGTAATGTTTCTTCCATTGCCCTCTCTCCATCCTTCTTTTCTGCCCCCTCCCTGTCCTCCAGCAGTGGTGTTGGCAGATGGAGCCACACTTGTAGCCAACCCTATTAGCAGTCCATTCAGTGCTGCTCCAGCGGCAACAACCGTGGTGCAAACCCACAGCCAGAGTGCTAGCACCAATGCTCCAGCCCAGGGCTCGTCCCCCCGGCCAAGTATACTCCGGAAGAAACCTGCCACAGATGGGTGAGTAGACCCACTAGTGCCAAATGACACCTCTAGTTCTGGATATAATTGGCACAAATGATAGGCACTTGTCCAATGCTGGTAGCAGACTGTAATCTCTCATCTTCTGTAGAGTTTTTTGAATTTTCTCCAAAATAACTGATTACAGGGTTGTTCAGTAGAGCCATGCCAGGCTCAGACTGTAGGATGGTAAAGAATCCATGAGTCAGTGGGGTGTTACTTTATAAGCATCTGTTGCATACTACTTTAGGAGCTCTCTGTAATTCTGGGAGTTTAATCCCAGAACCCCTAAAGTAGCTTATAATGAACTCTTCAGGCTCGTCTAAGTAATCACATTAACATGTACTGTGTATTTTTCCTCATTGTCCAGCATGAATTGTTCAGGGTGAGCAATTTCCTAAGTGTATTAAGGGTCATATTTAGTATCAGATGGTGTTGTGTGTTGCCATATAAGCTTCTGAGTTGGTAGGTCCTAGGCAGGAAAGTACGTGATATGCTATGAAACATAGACCCGAGTCTCTGTCTTTTAAGGATAAGTCAGTCCATGGCAAAGTAATCTTATCAGTGAAAATGCAAGGCAAAGCTTGTAGTTAAGATGGCACATTGAACACACACTTCTCAATTTCTTTTCCTCTCCAAACTCTACAGAACTTTTAGTAAAGAGGCTTCTTAAAGTAAAAAAAGGTTATAAACACACAAGGAGGATGGGGAGAGTAGGAGAGGACACAACAGCAACAAAACTTTGAAGCTGGAAAGCAGATAGGCAAGTGATTGCTTGCTTAGCTGGGAGAAAGCTGCATGTTAAGGCTATAAAAGAGAATGTTGAGAACCATCCTCATTTAAATTGCTGAATCTTCAAAAGGACCAGGAACAGGAAGAACTGGGATTGAAAGGAGGCTGGGCTGAGATCTGTGTGAGAGGTGGTTAGAGCTCTGCATCCCCTTCCCTGCCCACACTGTGGGGTACACTGCCCCACCCCAACCCCAGGCACCTGCAGATTTAAACTCTGCAGACAGTCCACTGGGATCAACCAGCACAATGAAGGCCATGAGCATTTTGCCAGAAACAGATTAAGTGAGTAAGCATTTATGAAATGCTGAGACTTCCCAGGCCACTTCTCTCTTTTGGCTGACAGAACCCTGGCAGTTGAACTTAACTCTGTAGACAGAAAGTGAGAAGAGGATTCTGCTCTCCTTCTGGGGTCCGTCTAGCCCCAGGGGAAAGAGCTACAGATACCAACACTAGGGGTTCCCTAAGGACGAGGATCAGATCACCCTGCAGTGAACCTGAAAGTAGACAAGGCTTTCACAGGCTCAGAACTTCCAACCAGCTTTTTAGTACCCCTATTCCTCATCATGAACATTCAACCAAGGATAACCAGGGGTTCGAGGGGGCTGCTAACAATGCAAGAGAGAAACCGCAGTCAACGTACTGAAACAGCAGCTTGAAAGATGCAGAGGCCAGGCAAGGAGAATAAAACTGAAAACGAAAAATTAAAACAAATGAGCAAAGACAAAACTGTCAGTGCTGTCTTCAAAGGACAATAGAAAAAAAGGCATCCATGAAATAGGAAGGCAATGCTACACAAAGGAGCTCTCAGAGAACAAAAGAGTGTGTCCCGAAATTGGAAATATCATAGCAGAAATGGAAAACTCAGTAGAAGAGTCATTAGGTAAAGTTGAGGAAATCTCTCAAAAGTAAAGCAAAAAGACAAAGAAATAGAAAATAGGAGAGAAAAGACAAAATTAAAGAACCAGTTCAGGAGAGCCTGCTTCCAAGTAATGGAGTTTCAGCAAGACAGATCAGAGAAAAGGAGGAAGGGGGATCCCTTAGAAATAATTCATACAAAATTACCAAAACTGAAGGGTATTATTTTCCTGATGTAAAGAACCGTGAAATGCTCAGCACAGTAAATGCAATGGACACAAATAAACCGGCACCAAGGTAAAATATTTTGAAATTTCACAACACTGGAGACAAAAGATCTGCCCCCTTCTCCCACACTTCATCACCTCCCAGAAATCCTTCTGCTGTGCCCTCTGCAATCAGTCTGTCATTATCAGAGTCCCGCATCCTTACCTCTTCTTGGAGCATGCTTTCTTGCTCTAACTGAAACTGGCTCTTGCTTGGGGGTCTTGATTTCCGTGAGCTCGTCCACAATGGTGTCTCTCTCTGCTCCCGATCCGTCCTGTCACTGGGCCTGGAGGTAGGGTAGGTGTCCTCTGCGTGCCTCACTGCCACTTTCAGGCCATTTCTAGGCCATTTCTCTTCAAAAGCACTTGGTCAGTGTTTAGATTTTCTAAAATTTGCAGTGGAAAAAGTAATTTCACATAGCCGGGTTATTCCAGACACACTGAAAAATTTTCCAGTGACTGAATCGAATATCAGTTTTTAAATTCAAATTAATTTAAATGAAATATCGCTAAACTTTGCTCCTTAGTTGCACTTGCCACCTTTCAAGTACTAGTAGCCCCATATGGCTAGTGGCTGCTTTGTTGGACAGGGCGGCTCTAGAGGCTTGATCAGATTCAACTGTGATTTTGGAGTTATGTTTGTGTGTCCTTCAGAAGGTTCATAACTTCTGGCTCTCATTCTGTCTTGAACTTAATGGAAACAGAAATGATTTCATAGCTCTCTGGCCTCTCCGCTGCTTTGATGCTTCCCCTCCCTCCGCCCTCCCTCAGCAGGGCGCATCCATAAGCACTTGCCCTCCTCGGCAGAGAAGTTCAGCACGCCTTCCTTGCCCTCTTTTTCTGTAGTACTCCAGGGTCCCGCAGTCGCACTATCTGTTTTTCCACCTCACTGGCAGCAGTACTGCGCCTCCAACAATGCCCAGCTGGGAGCCTTCCCTTCATTGATCCTTCTCCCTTTTCATTTTTCTTCACTGCTTTTCGTGGCCTCTTTCTCTGCTCTCTCTCATTCAGGTTCTGTGGTCTGTTGCAATCATTTCCTTTCATACAGCCTCAGCTTCCTTGCCTTCCTCTTCACTTTGTCAAAACCAGATTTAAATCCAGCTTTCTGCTCAATTTGCTTTGTGCATGCGTGTGTACAGCAGATCGTGGAGGGAAAACACAATGTTGAACTGGTCTTGCTTAGCCTCACAAACCGCCACTGGGATCTTACAGTGGACCAACACAGTATACTTTCCTAAACCAACTTCCTGGAACTATTTTACATCTGCTCCACTCAAAACTTCCACAGCTCCTCTTCTGTATTCACTATTAGCTGCCTACTTTTTTGAGAAAATGGAAACAACCAAAAGAGAACTTCCCCTAACTCTAGCTCTCACATCTCCTTACCTGCCCGTGTCTGTGCCCGTGCTCTGCCTTCCCATCTCTCGATTGGTGAACTCTTGGAGCCTCTCTGGCCTACTCAAGAACAGTGCTCTAGCTCTTCTCCCTCTTTCCTACTGAATCAGTTTTATCTTGCTGGTGGATCATTCACATAAAAAGTATAAACTTGCTGTCATTTCTTCCATCTTAAAAAAAAATTTTTCTGTTGGTCCACTTTGCTCCACTATCTACCCCATTAGTTTGTTCCTATTTGCAAAGAAAATAAAGGAGTCATGTATGTTTGCTATCTCCAGTTCTTCCAGTCTCTGCTTCTTGCAGCATTTTCATTGAGTATAGAGAACTGCGCAGATAACGTTTACAGCATAATGAGTTAGCACAAAGTGAGCACAACATACAACCACTGTATAGATCAGGAAATAGCACATTACTGGCACTTCCTCCCAAAGGTGACTAACCAGTTTTTCTTTTGATCCTGTAGATTTATTTTGCCTCTTCTTGAACTTACACAGAATCATATTTTATGCTTTTTTGTGTATCTGTCTGCCTTTACTTGGTTTTGAAGTTTTAGATATTTGATGGTATTAAGGGGTTATTATATTTTTTTAGTATGTATCTCTCAATAGATACGTGCTGAAATATATACAAATGAAATGATGTTATTGCAATTTTTTTATTGCTCTATGAAATGCCATTGTGTAACAGTACTATAGTTTATCCATGGATATTCGGGTTCTTTCCAGTTGGGGGCTGTAATGTTATCCTGAGCATTTTTGTGCATGACCTTTGATGCGTACCTAAATGCATTTGTTGTGTTTCTAGGAGGGGATTTGCTGTGTTATGGGCTCTGCTTATGTTCAAGTCTAGCAGATAATGCCAACAGTTTTTCCTAGTGCTTACACCCAGCCACACTCACCAGCAGTGCAGATCATTGCATTCATCGTCACCAACGCTTGTTGTTGGCACTCTTTTTAAGTTTGGTTGTTCTATAGGTTTGTAGTGGTGTATCATTAGTTTTTTTGTGTTTTTTTTTTTTGTTTTGGGGGGTAAGTAGTGGAGTGGAGTTGGTCTTACTTTTTTGTTTATTTCTTTTTATTATGGGAAGGTGTAGATATAATACAGTTTTGAACATATGAATGTATACCCATCATCCAACTTCAGTTATCAACTTATTAGCTCATGGCCGATTTTGTTTTATCTATATGCCTACTCAGCCCCTTCCACTGTATTATTTTGAAGCAAATCCCGGGCAACACGTCATTTCATTTGTGTATATTTCAGCATGTGTCTGTTGGGAGATACGTACTAAAAAATATATAACTACTTAATATCATCAAATATCTAGGCATTGTTCAAATTTCCAGTGGTCTCAAATGTCACAAGGTTTCTTTTGTTTTATGTTATTTGTTTGAATCAGTATTCTGATAAGGTGCACACGTTATAATTAGTTGGCATGTCTCTCAAGACTCTTATAATATATAGGTTTCCTCTGTCTTTTTTTCTTGTAATTTATTTGTTGAAGAAACTTGGTCTTTTGTCCTGTAGAGTTTTCCTTCTCCCACACCCTCTCCTTGGATTTTGTTGATTGCACCCCCATTGTATTAGTTTCTTAGTGCTGCTATAACAAATCATAAATTTATTCTCACAGTTCTGATGGTTAGAAGTCTGAAATCAAGGTGTTGGCAGGGTTGGTTCCTTCTGAATGCTCTCAGGGAGAATCTATTCCAGGCCTGTCTCCTAGCTGGCTGTTGGCAATCCTTTGCCTTCCTTGGCTTGTGGACACATCACTCCAATCTCTGCTTCCATATTCACATGGCCTTCCTCTGTGTCTGTGTCTGAATCGCCCTCTCCTTTCTGTTATAAGGATACCAGTCATTGGATTTAGGGCCCACCTTAAATCTAACATGACCTTATCTTGAGATTCTTAACTTAATTACATTTGCGAAGACCCTATTTTTTTACATTCAGGAATACCAGGGATTAGAACTTGGATGTATCTTTTTAGGGAACACAATTCAATTCAGTCCACTACACCCACGGTGTAGTTCACTTTTTCTCTCCTCCACGTTTTCTCTAAGTTGTTACTTGAATCTAAAGGCCTGATTAGATTCACTGTTCTTTTCTTTTGGCGAGACTACTTTGTAAATTGGTGGTTTAGTCTTTTAACCGGAGAAATATGATGTCTGGTGGTCACTCTTTTTGAGATGTTAGCCGTCTTGAGGATCAGTATCTGGATCCATTAACTATTGGGCATTGCAAAATGGTATGTTCTGGTTCTAGCCATTTTCTCTGCAACCCACTCTCGTCTAGCATTTGCTTCCACCACTCTGCCAAAACTAAACATGTCACGATCACTCACGACTGTCACATTGCTAAACGCAGTGGTTAATTTCCAGTCTAAGCCATATGTGGCCTCTCTCCTGCATGCCACAGCTGATCACTAACTACCTTGCTCAGGTCAGTATAAATACATAGACATCATAATGATTGTACAGACTTAATAGGGATTGAAAGTGTAATATTTAAGTAGAAAGGAGACATGGCATGCTAAAAAAGCATCCGAAAGAGTCACAATGGTTACTTCCTGGAGAAAGATGGGCAGGAGGTGGAGAGGGATGAGTAAGGGATCGGCTGTATTTTGTTAAAAGCTTTTTATTACTAATAGTTTATTACTATTTGGCTTTTTAAATAACATGCCCATATTACTTTGATAAAATTTAGAAATCCATTTAAAAAATACCTAGCCTATGCAGTGCTTTTATTTTGCCATAAGTATGGCTAGCAAATGTGTGTGTTGTACTTCTTATCCTTTAATGCCCTCGGACTGCTGTGTTCCGGGTTTGTTTCTTGTCTGTTTCAGAATGGCAGTTCGGAAAACCCTCATTCCTCCTCAGCCTCCTGAAGTGGCTAGTCCCCGAGTGGAGAGCTCTATGCGGAGTACATCCGGGTCACCTAGGCCTGCGGGGTGAGCACATAAATGTTGTCACTCTTGCTTCCAGCTGCACATAACTGGGGAGGAAGAAGTCTAATAGATGTGACAAATATCACATAATTTGTCTATGTGCATCTTTTTATATCCAGTTTCTAGCTGCATGACCTGGACATGTTTCTCAACCTCTCTGATCCTAATTTACCTCGTTTATGAAATGGGCATACTTATAACATCTACCTTATAGAATTCTTGTGTATTTAAATGAAATGATGCATTTAAAGCATTTAGAACAGAGCCTGCCTCATAGTAAACACCCAGTTGTTGCTATCAAAAATGGGATGATGACAATAGTTAATACATGCCTTTTTCTTTATCTTCTTAATTCTAAAGGTAATATTATTTTGGGGAAAAAAATGAGACAGTGTAAAAATATTTGAAGTGTATAATGAAAATCATTGTCCTATTCTCCACCCACCTCTCCAGTCCTGCTCCCCAGAATAATATTGATTGGTAACAGTTTTCTTAAATATCTTTGCACATCTTTTTCTACATATACATGTAGATAGATTGATAGATTCTTAAAAACAGGATCTTGCTGATTGATCTCTATCTTGCATTTTTACTTATATCAGTAATAGCTTACCATGTTAATAGATTTAGATCCTACTTCTTCATAAAGCTTCATTCAAGAAAAAAAATTATGAATGCCTTGTGTGTGCCAAGTATCATTTTAAAATCTGGGGGTATATAAAAGTGACTAGAACAGACAAAATGTCCATTCTCCTTAAGCTTACTTTCCTAGTGAGTGTGGAGAAATAATAAATATGTGAAGAAAAAGAAAGCACTGTGACAGGGAACATCAGTGATGGGAGGAAGAGGTGATGACTTATAGAAAGGCTTCCCTGAGCAGAGGTTTAAGAGCATGCTCCCTGGCGTTGGTCTGGAGCAGGATGTCAGGCAGACGGAAGAGCAGGGACCAAGGTTTTGATGTAGGAAGACTTGCAGTCCTCATTTCACACATTAGTGCCAGAGTGTAAAAATAACCACACAAGCTGAAACTGTGCAGAGTGACTTTAATCATTGTGAGAAATCAGCATTATTCTGTGACCTTTAAAAACATTTGTGAAAATATTAAAAACTGTCTTACTGTCAGTTATTCTATATAGGGAAATGAAAAAAATAGTAAAACTAATATTTACTTAGTACACTGTAATTTAAACATTAGAAACATTGAGAGTTAAAGTGTTTTAGTTCTTTCTAAAAACTAATCAAGAGTAGTTGGAACACTTGCCTTCTTCACACTGTATAATTTGTATAGAGCAAGAGTCCTTCTATGCCTTGGTGAGTTGTCATACTCCATTCTAAGTCTGGATCTGCTTCTGACATTTTATCCATTGTCTTTTCAATGTTGTAAATTATCTCCAAGAGTTCCTTGAAGGTGAAGTTGTTTGCCAGCATCACTTCCAGGGACATCTTCATCTTTTTCGTCAAAACCATCTGCCTTAACTAATCCTTGGACTCTGGGTGCACATTTCACAACAGCATCTTTATCTGGGCTAGCAGCTTCACCAGATAGCTTAACATTAATCAAATTCATGCTAACTTTTGAAACAATGAAACCATCTTTTATTGACAGTACAAGGTTTTTTGTTTCATTCTCCTTGTAATTGCCATTTTCCTTAAGCATGGCATCTAACTTCAACACTTTGGCCTAAATGTTTGGGATTTTTTTTTACATTCTTCAGAGTGGAAGCGAATACTCCATGTCACTGTAACGGCTTTCTGTTCCTACTCCAGTTTAAACTAAAAAATGATATGAAATGACTTCACAATCTTTTTTTGTATCCACTGGACTTTCTCCTTACGGTCCATGCCATAGCTTCATACAAGCCTAGGTTTCATCCTGTCTTCTCGTTGCTGTTGCCATTTTCAAATCTTCTAATCACGTCCAATTTTACTTCCAGAAGTTTCACATTTTTTCCCTACATTTTCAGCTTCATTGACCAGTTCTCTCTTTCGATCATCCACTTGTGTAAAATTTCAGATGGGTTTATCACTGGGAAATGAGACAGCACAACTATATGCTTTGCTGTCTGCGTGAATGGAATAACAGATGTGCAGTGACCAATCACCGACACACTTCAAAAGACATGTAATTGGTCACAAATCATCGTGCACAACTGTTACAGAGTGATTTGTGGACTGGAGAGCTAGCAGCAAAGTTTGCACTTTATCAATTACTCAAGTTAATATGCTGTGGTAACTGAAATTTGAACAGTGTTGGTGGGGGACTGGTGTAATATAGTTACACATATATATGTGAAATTCACACATATCAGCATTGTGCCAAGTGAGGGCTGGCTGTGTATTAGGAATACACAAGGAGTAGCAAGAGAGACCAGCCTAGAACAAGGAGAAGAGTTGTACAAGATGTTTCAGAGATATAATTGAGGGCCAGGTTATGTTGGGTTTTGTGGGCCATTCAAAATCCTTTGGATTTTATTCTGGGTGAGATGGAGAGCCGTGAGAGGACTAAGGCACAGGAGTCACAATTTGACCTATTTTTAAAAGGGTTACTCTGACTACTATGCTGAGAATAAACTGCAAGAAGGCAAGAGATGTGATAGAACCTTAGGCTTTCTTAGTGGCTTGGACCAGCATGGAGGTAATAAAAGTCTTAAGAAGAGTTCAGATTCTGGATATGTATTGAAGGTACAGCTGGCAGAATTTTCTGATGGAGTAGAAAGAAAGGGAGGAGTCAATGATAGCTGCAAATTTTTACCTGAGCAACTATAGATCAGGAATTATCTTTTCTGAAATGAGTAAGCCTATGGGAATAGCGGGGGGCAAAATCAAGAGTTTGGTTTTAGACATTTTACTTTTGAGATTTCCAAGTGGTTAGACACACCCACGTAGAGTTGTCAAGTGCGTAGTTGGATATAAAATTCTGAAGTCTATACAGTTCTAGAATTGGAGATAGAGGTCTATGCTGGTGATAAAGATTTGGGAATTAAAAGCAGATGTATGTTCTTTAACACCATGAAAGTGGAAGTGATCCCACTGACAGTATAAATAGAGAATGGAAGTGGTACAAGGACTACGCCTTAGGACATACCATCTTTAGAGGTCAGGAAGGTGAAAAACCACATGTTTCTATAATGTGTGATCTTCCCAGATGTGTTGGTGCCATAATTAGTCCTCAGTTAATGAACACTTAAGTTATTCCCATTTATCACTGTAATAAACAATGCTGCAGTGAATCTCTTTATCATCGAGCCCCTTTGCAAACAGGTCTCTGGGATGTATTTCTAGAAGTAGCATTGCTGGGTCAGAGTAAATGTGCAGGTTAAATTCTGATTTCTAATCACTATACCTGTTTACATCCTCATGAAATATGTGTTCCCATTTTCTCCATATTCTTGCCAACTCGAAATGTAAAATTTTACAAATGTAATACATTGTTTCTCATTGTTTAAAATGAAAATTTTTTTTATCAAAGTAACATATGGAGTTACTTTTAAAGTGCTAGAAAAATTAGTTCCTGAAGGTGAAGAGCACACTGTGAAGTATAAAAGTATATCCTTGGCGAGCAACAACATGTGCAGAAACTTGGGTGAGGAGGGGCTATTTGTAGAATCTTTCCTAGAATTAGCATCGTTCAGAAAAGTTGTGGAGGTGGGGCCCCACACAGGTGCCCAGACTAGCCTTATTTGCGGTAGGCAGTCTGTTTCTGTGGCACCCGAAAAAGAGGGCATTTGGTTGTGAAAATAACTAGCTCCCCACTCTCCCACGCCCAAGTGAAAGGAAATAGCTATCTCATGGAAATACCTGTTTTTAGGACTAGCCCAGTTCATTCACTGATGAGTAATAAAAGAAGGATATGAGGATAACTAAAATTAAAAAGTAGGAAAAGAGCAACAAAATAGACTAATTTGTTCACTAAGAACACTCTCCAGGGGGGCCGGCCCCATGGCTTAGTGGTTAAGTGCGTGCGCTCCACTACTGGTCGCCCGGGTTTGGATCCCGCGCGCGCACCAACGCACCGCTTCTCCAGCCATGCTGAGGCCACGTCCCACGTACAGCAACTAGAAGGATGTGCAGCTATGACATACAACTATCTACTGGGGCTTTGGGGAAAAAAAGGAGGAGGATTGGCAATAGATGTTAGCTCAGAGCC